GTCCCCCAAGGTCTGGAATCGGTCCTTCTCCACAATCTTCCTCAGGGTCCGGTCACCTCTTCTCGTTGTGCAGCGTTTTCTGCCACACTTTTCCCTTCCCACAGACTTCCCACTGAGGTGCCTTGATACAGCACTCTGGGAACAGCCTATTCGTTCAGAAATTTCTTTCTGTGTCTTACCCTCTTGCTTCACGGTGTCAATGATGGCCTTCTGGACAGTAGTAAGGTCGGCAGTCTTACCCATGATTGCGGTTTTGAGTAATGAACCAGGCTGGGAGTTTTTAAAAGCCTCAGGAATCTTTTGCAGGTGTTTAGAGTTAATTAGTTGATTCAGATGATTAGGTTAATAGCTCGTTTAGAGAACCTTTTCATGATATGCTAATTTTTTGAGATAGGAATTTTGGGTTTTCATGAGCTGTATGCCAAAATCATCAATATTTAAACAATAAAAGATTCATTACACACAACTGAAGTAGTTCAAGCCTAACATATATGAAAGTCTAATGTTTATCAGTCTATTACAGAAAATAATGAACTTTATCACAATATGCTAATTTTTTGAGAAGGACCTGTATATAAACCAATGCTGGAAAGATTTATTTTTTTATTAACTATGATCCTTTTTTGTTAGGTCACATGATACAAAATGGAGATTTTGCTTTGTTTAGTAGCTATAATAGCATTGAATTAATGGTATGACAAAGATTGATAAAGCGACTGTTTAGTTTAACAGTTGTTTCAAAGTGAAACATGGAGTTACGGGGCTAAAAATAAAACATGAAATTAAGGGATGTCTGAAATGACCGTCTTGTGGGATTAGGGAGTTCAAGGAGGCAGCTTACAATGGTCAGTAGCCCGGATGTCAGGCTAGAGATGAGGTCCTTGCCCGCGCGGGCGCAGATGATGGTGTTGTGGGCACCGGAGACGGCCGGGCCGTGGTCCGCTGTCACCATGAGACACATCTCGATGAAATGGCAGGCGTAGCGAGGCAGCCTGGGGCAGACAAACAGGGAATGATAAAAGATGATGAAAGACCTACATTATTAACCATCCATGCCTGTCCATTCCCAGGTCCTGCATTAATTATCCTAAAGGTCTGACGTGTCCTAAACAGCAATGGGACTGTAGTGGGACACCTGCATCCCCCTCACCTCCTCTGAAACCACAGTAGGCCAAGCACTCCCCCCAGACCCATCTCCTCCTTGAAGACCTCGGTTATGGGCATGCCGGCATAGAGGAGCTCCTGGCCGCGCTCGTCACAGATGCTAGTCATGAAAGACGCGGGCTTGCGGATCAGTCCAAGTTCCTACAGCATAGGGGATTGCAGCTAAAAGGACTTGGCTAATAGGTACTAGTCATACCCAATGGAGAACTGATGTCCAGGATTGGCGTCACTAGAGCCAAGCTGGTATCTTCCACACTTACCCGTGCCCATGAGTAGTCCATTGGCACCGTTGGAGGTGGAACTTCCATAGCAGGAATGATGACTCGGCTGGCTACAAGGTCATCGTAGACCTTTCTGTAGTTCACAAGGACATGGTGAGAAATGAAAACCATAATGGTGCCCATTTTCACAGCACACACTTCACACCCTCTCCCTCACGTCTGATATCTGTAACGTGACTGAGTTTGTAGAGTGGATGTACAGACATCATGTGTCGTGTGTGTTGACGTGGCCGGCGTGCCGACTGACTTGATGATGTCGCCGAGCTCGTCGAAGCTTCTTGGCACGAAGGCGCCTGCCTCCATGAGGGCCTGGTTTTTGGCGACCGCCGTCTCCGAGGCCTGGTTGGCGCAAGCCCCGGCGTGGCCAAACTGCACCTAAGAGATGAGGGCGCAGTTGCGTCAGGCAGGGAGACGTCCACATACTGGCATCGCCCACGGAAGCGGCCCATCCCTCAACGGATCCCCAGACCCACCAACCTCGGAGGAGAACATGGTAGCGCAGGTTCCAATGCACCAGCACACCACGGGTTTGGTGATCCTGCCGGACTTGATGCCCTGACCGATCTTGTACTCCTCCGTACCGCCGATCTGTAGCAGAAAAGCCATAATTACACCCACAATCAGCGTCTCCTAACATTTTAGGACTATTTATTGAAGGAACATACCTCCCCTAGCACCACAATCATCTTGACTTCAGGGGTGTCTTGGTATCGCAATACATGGTCCATGAAGGTAGACCCAGGGTATCTATAGGGTATTCATGTTGTAAATACCTTTATAAAGGCAATTTTTTTAAACAATAACATGAAAGTCCCAAGTTTTCCTCTAAGCCAAACAAAGCAAAGCATATGACCAAGGATTCGCCGCTGCCCCGAAACTTTCTGATCCTCACCTATCGCCCCCAATGGCCACCCCCTCGAACACGCCGTCAGTGTTGCGGGAGACGATGTTGTTGAGCTCGTTGGACATCCCCCCCGAGCGGGAGACGTAGGCCACACTGCCGGGCCGGTACAACTTTGAGGCCAGGATGTTGTCCAGCATACCGCCCGTGTTGCCAATCTTGAAGCAGCCGGGCTTGATCCCACCCACCTGGTCGGGTGGAAGAACACGAAACGGCCCTCAGTTAAGGAAGATCAGCAGATGTTGGTCCCTGGCCAATGGGCTGCGAGCGTACCGTGGCTGGGCCAATGATGGTAACGCCCTTCTCATCCGCCCTCTTAATCAACCTTCTTGTGTGGGCTTCGGGGATGCCCTCAGCAATGATGGCGATGGTGCGGATCTGGAAGAACATCGAGGAACAGTTGAATTGTCACTCATTGAAATCCCCAACACACTGAACCTGTGTGAAATACTCTGCTTTAGGAACGCGGAGATGCCAACGTGCCATTGATGGGTGTACAGCAGCGGTAAGCTTTACCTGGTGGTACTGCATGGTCTCCATGGTACTCTCAAAGGCGGAGCGAAGAGAGGCGAAGCTGATGAGCACATCCACCTCAGGGTGCTTCTTCATGGCATCGCCCATGTTCTTGTACACTGGCAGCAGGATCTCCTTGTGTCCCCAGTAAAACTTCTGCTTGTGGTCTCCACTAAAACAGGAACACAACCTCAGGATGCCGCCTCACCTCAGGCCGGCGGGAGACGGGAACTCGGACGCCTACGTGAAGGGGTAGACCATCGCGGCCACAGAGGGCTCCTCCCTGGAGCAGACGTAGTCAAAGTCCAGCATCCCCTGCACCGCCCGTGTCTGCATGCCCCACACGATGGCCTTGGTCTCCTTGCTGAAGAGCGTGGTGGCCTTCACTGTGGGAACAGCTTATGATTACCATATATACAGTATATACGTGCACCAGATTTTCAAAACGCTGCGATGTGGGATGAATTTTGCTGTAGAACACCTTCCTATGAATAGCCCAAACGTTTTCATTTTGCTATTTATTTTATCTTTTAAAATATGTAGCATTAGTGAGAAGTACACAGAGCTTCGTTGTGCATGTACAATAACAATAAAATATTCTATTCTAGCTTGGAAATAAACCAGGAGAAAAAATGCAAGCCTATTTTTAGCACGCAAGTGGACTGAAATGCTCTCAGTAGAAATTACAGGGCAAAAAAACCTGATTGTGATGATGCGTCAGCGGGGGGGGGGGGGGGGTCTTGGCAGTTGGTTGCAGAGGCTGATGAGCTGGGGGGGGAGTGTTTTCTTTGTGTGGAAACAGACTTAGCAGCCAGGACATCAGTGCCAAAGCTGCATGACGGACTGCTGGAAAGACTGGAATGTGCGATGGGCGGATTCCCTTCCTGCCTAGCCCTTTAAGCGGGGCACTCGGAGGAACAGAACGGAGGGGGGGTTTGTTGCCAAGACAACTGGCACAGAGTCAGATAACCTCCAGGCTGATGTGGGCGGGGGGTGGAGCACAAAGCCCAAAAATTAGGGTCATGTTTCCCATAACTTCCTAATATAAATGTCACTGTGATAAATGTCAGCGTGTGATCTAGTGCGGATTTGGGCTTGGCACCTCATCAACGTTACATCCACAGTTATTTAAATTCTGTGGTTCCATTATGGTTTTTTCAAAGGGAAGTGGAATTTGTCAGCATTAATTTAACAAGATACACTTGGGCGCCGGGTAAAAGCAGAAATGAGGACACGACACGGTGACTCTGAGCTGAGTTTCTATCTTGCAAGCGTGTGAGTTACCAACCTCACACACCGGACACCTTGATTTGGTGGCCGTCTTCTGTCACAGTGAGGATAGGCTGGGACAGGACCTGGATATACAGTGGGCAGGCCTGCTCCAGAACTTTCTGCATTGACCTCCCCAAAGAACAGGAGAGAAGGTTGGCAAAATTAGGTTACCTGGAGGGACAGAAGGCTTGGACTTTTTTGCAGGCGAGGCGCTGCTGGCAGCTTTGGGCTCAGAGAAGGAGGCCGTTCTGCTGGTCCCTGGGGTCTAGAGCAGACGGACAGGGTTACGACGGCACCACAAAGGACAAGTGAGACGTCTTTGTGGAGCACTGAGGTAGCAGCCTTGCAAAACCTCCCCCAACGTCCCACTTCAATGATGCCAATTATGTTTTCTGAGGCCTGCCTTCAAGAGATGTTACAGGGGTCTGTATGGCAGGTTACAAAGTACCGTTGCGTAATGAGAAGCAGAGTATGTGGTGTATTTTTCCGTGCATTCCCAAACATCATGGTTATCGACGCATGCTAACTCTCTGTGGGGCCAGTGAGGAGAGCAGTGAGCAGGTCACTGTACCGAAACACTGGCACTGGTGTTCAGCAGGAAGTTGGCGGTGTGGGCGGCTGCTGGCGGCTGGTTGGGGATCGGCCGGTGACCCAGGGCCATGCCCACGATGGCCGTCATGTGGGTCTCGGTGCCGAAGACGTGGATGGGGATCCCAGTGGTTTTCCCTGTGGCGGGGTGGGGTGGGATCATTATGACGTCATAAATGCAAGCTCTATGATGTCATCACTGTTAGTTTGATGTGAAAGATATGAAATGTCGGAGATACTATCAAAGGTTCACACATCTCCCGCATCCTCGATGCTTACTTGCATCTTTGGTTGGCCAGTGATACCATTGTAAACATTCTACTATCTCCTCGGCAACTCACCTACTTCCCCCATCACCCTGAGACCCTCCTGGTAGTTGGGTCCACCGCGACGCACAAAGATGGAGACTTCATGCTCCTGCAAGGGCACCTGGTAGTCCTTAATGGCTCTCACGATGCCCTACATACAAAAACACCAGTCATTTCTGGTGCTCACCGAGGCCCTCCAGTGGCACAGCTTGACACTGCACACACATCACTGCACCTTGAATGTAGCTGCCACATTAGTGAAGTTGGCGATGCTTCCCCCAATAATCAGCACTTTCCCTGAAGAAAATCAGAAGGCAGGTAACAGTTGCGGGAGTATAGAGCAGGCATGTTTAAATACATCAACCACAGGCGAAAAGGATGTATAAAAGGGTCGATTTATGTAGAGGAAAAAGGTAAACAAAAGTAAAAAGGATCAATGAAATACTTAGATATAAAAACAAGATGTTCCTTTCTCCCTCTCCCTTTCTCCCTATTTCTGTCTTTCCTTTTCTGACCAAACCAGGAAGTAACATTGCCATTGTTGTGTCAAGGGACTGCTGGTCTAAGAGACTGACATTTCAGTCGTTGTTGGCGAGTGCACTCAGACTGACATTTCAGTCGTTGTTGGCGAGTGCACTCAGACTGACATTTCAGTCGTTGTTGGCGAGTGCACTCAGACTGACATGTCCACAGTGTGGCAGCGTGGAGCAGCGCAGCACCACATCAGGGTGGGATTTACCATCACGGTGCTTCTCTCGCGTCATCAGGGAGAGGATGGTCTTGGCGTAGTCGTACGTCTGCTGCTCGCTGGGTGCGCCCGAGTACTCCCCGTAATTGGCCAGCTCGTCGACCCCACCCAGATCGCAGATGGTGTCACTGCAGGGGAGGGGGAGCGAGGAGGTTACAGGGAGTAAGAACTGTTTACATCCTATAACAGGTCTTGTCTTGGATTGGCGTCCCACCCAGAGTGTCCCCTGCCTTTTGCCCTGTGTTTGCTGGGATAGACTCCAGACTCACTATGACCTAGTAACTGATAAGCGGTCAGGGAAAATAGATGGAAGGATGGGAGAAAGAAAAAAAAAAACGCTTAAACCTAAACCGATAACATATTGAGACCCTCAGCACCCCAAATCGAGAGCGATCTTTACATAGCTGTCAGTGAACGGTTTCAAATGGACTTATGTGGATTGTTGTTAGTGAGGCAAATACATGAGTGTCAACACGATACACACTAATCTTGCTTTATATTTACAATTAAAAAGGTTTTTTTTTTTTCTACCTATTTAGCCGTCAACGTTAACTTATCATTAAGTTATCCATACAGAAGACCATCATGGATACAAATGTTATACAGTATAAATACTAATGAAATAAATGAATTCATAAAACATCTTTTCATTGGACAAACACTATCGGTAGACAGAGGAGAATGGACATATTCCTGTAAATAGTCACAATCGTTAAAAATCGTTGTTACATTGGACAATAAATGAAATATAAGAACCAAGCGAGATATGAACAAGGGAATTATTACTATTATATTAATAGCAAACTAATTATTATTATTATAATCAAGACCAGCAATAACACCTTGTGTGAAACTTGAAATTTTCCTTCATTAGCTATCCCTTCACATGAGATGATGTCATGCCGTTCTGGGGATTACGGGATTGATCAGATATTCCTCCCGGTTCCGCTAATTAACTCCCCTCCACATGATATCCTGCCACAGACCAGAGGGTCTGCATCAGGCATAATCAGTCACGAAACACCACCTCCAAACATCACTTCTCTGCCAGATGGCTCATTACCCAGAAATCCCTCCGTCTTCCCCTTTATATGCCACTGTGCGGCATTTTATGTTTTTCTTTTTAACTAAATGAGATGTTTTTGCGATTCGCCGCTCTACTGTCAGTCTGTCCCGCATCTGTGCCCAAATTTCAGAAGTTACAGCTGAGGACTCAAACTAATTAGACGCTGGCGCTTCTGTGCGGTGAATATATGACGCATGCAGAATTATATCCAGGGGAAAATGAAAGGCCTGCAACCTGTTTCATGTCTTACTTCATCTGTGTCGCCTTTGCGGAGGTAGAGATTTCTAAAACGGGAGCATTTTAGGAGAAGGGCCTTATGGGAGACCGGCAATGAGACCACTAATTTACAATAAAATCCGACAGCAAAAAACAAAATACTCAGGAGAAATTTAAAAACTGAAGGGCCCAGAATCAATGCATGAACACCATTCTTAAGAGACTGGAAACCTGCAAAAAAAACTCCAAAAAGTACAAACTTGCCAGGACTCACATTCTTTTCATACACTGGAAATGATGGTGGCTAGATCAATATGGCACCCAAACAGCCCCAGATTAAGTGCTGGGGTTTTAATCCATGCATCCATCCATCCATCTATCCACACATCCATCCATCAGTTTTGACCCTGGAGTCTATCCTAGCAAGCACAGGATGGGATGCCAGTCGATTATAGCTCAAACACGCTCAAGGAAAATTTAGAGACACAGTATTCATGTAGAGGGGCTGGAGTCTATTCCAGGAAGCACAAGGCACAAGACTGGGGTACCAATTCATCACAGGACTGTGGGTGATTCAGAGACCCCAAATAGCCTAACTGCATGTCTTTGGACTGTGCGACGTCACCGGAGTAAACATGGGGGGAACATAGCCTCTACACACAGAGGCTGGGATTTGAACCCCAACCATGAAGGTATAAGGTATCAGTGCTACTTGGTACCCTATCAATAAAGACAAAGCCTGTACTGCAGTGTTTCCTTGGGGAGCCACAGATGGTGCACATTTTTGCTCCCTCCCAGCTCCCGGGAGCAAAAACGTGGGCTGTCTGAGGGTCTGCGAGGGCCAGGTTGGGAAACACTGCTGTAGTGCTTCCTGGAACGGGTGGATTTGATGTTAGAGATGGTCATCAAGAGGGAAAACAGCAATGGAGGCAGAGTGTGAAGTCATGAGTGCACAACTACTGTCGGACGGCACCTGTAGACTACGGACGCTCCCCCTCCTGCTACCATGGTCCAGATCCTCCCCCGGGGGTTGAGCAGGGTGAGCTTCAAACTGGCACCACTTTTGGCATCCAGGTCGGCAATGTAGGCCTCCTGGAGTGAACCGGACACAAGGTCACTCACAGAACCGGACACAAGGTCACTCACAGAACCGGACACAAGGTCACTCACAGGCTGTTAGCTATAAAACTACCTTAGTTAAAAGCATTTGGTAATTTAAATGAATAATGAAATATCACCTTTCCAAATACCACTACTGCGAAGGGAAAATACTAAAAATGTGACAGTAATTGATCCACCTCACAAGGAGGGAAAGGATGTGTTATAAGGGTGGAGACACAGACGTAGTATGTCTGCTGCCCAGCGATGGGGAGGTTTGCATGGCCAGTTAACAGAAGCTTCTCATCTTAAAGGGTGGTGTTTACGCTGAACCGAACTCCATCACCGCATCTTCTATCTTTTGCCTGACCTGACTTAGAAGCAGTCAGGCTTCCTGAAGTTGCCCTTATCGGGCTCGGGGGGGGGGGGTCAACCAATTAACCAAACCCGACGATGACACAACCTGTCAACATGACATGCGATTCAAGGTTGACGTCTTCCGGTTCACGCAGTCAAACGTGACCCAGAGGTCGTCCGTCTCGCTTCGTCGGCATCCCTGACAGCCGGAATATTCATAGTTGCCATTTCTGTCATTGCTTTGTAAATCAGACCCCCCCCCCCCGCCTTCTCCAGATGAGTCACCGGGGAATTTACCACAGAGCGGAGTTTATTCCCTTTGATCGATGACCCCGAGACACGGAGGTGGACGCGGCGTCTCTGGATATTGGCCAAAGCAACTTCTACCAGCTGGTTGGTGTGCAGGAGAGGAGGCGTTGGGTCATAAATTTTCCTGCCACGGTTTTATGATGGACGACTTGCTGGCTTTTGGATTTGTAACTGGCAAATACAGACGAGGATGTTCTTCCAGGCCTGAATGTCCCTCATTTACCACTTACACCCCGTCTTTGCATCCCACTGGATTTCAGTTTATTACTGCTTGAAATTAATGTTTTAATTAAAACTACTGGTTATTGCTAATGTGATATATGGATATCTATCTATCTATTTGTTCGTTCATTCAGTCATTTTTTTTTTACTTTGATGTTTTTTGTATGAGGGACTGGTGTGTCATGCGTTTTGGCAGGTCCAGCTTTGTAGAGTCCAAGTCAAGTTTCCCTATGGGGACAATAAAGTATATATCTATCTATCTATCTATCTATAATGCCGCTGTCAAACAGATGCAGATTCTCAGCTAGCTGGTCTGCAGTATCAGTTCTGAGAAGCGTGGAACGGGCCGACTCACCTCGGGGTACGCCTCCCTCCCAAACGGGGGGGGGAACTCTATGTCGCCCCATTTCGCCTTGCAGATGTAGTCGGCGGTGGCATCGATCTTCGCCGCCATGTCCAGCACAAAGACACCATCCTTGGTGACCACTAGGGGGGGGCAGACGGGGATATGGAGCGTGAACCATCAGGAATTACGGTTTGTTTGTGGTGCTATCGGAAATTAATGCATCCATCTTGATCATCTGCAGAGAAGCCAATCGATGCAGCAAGAATACTTGTGCTATATTTATTTATGATGGGGGGGGGGGTGTGGCCCAGTAAGCTAGGGTGCCATGGCTGTTATCGCAAATCCCAGGGTCACACCTGGGCCCTCGAGCAAGAACCTCAACTGGACCAGAGGCTACCTGAACCCGTTTTGTAAATGTACACCATAAATGTGAAGCTACAAAAGACAATCCCAATTCCAGTGCCTTAGAACCCCCCCATTTGGGGGCGAAGTGTGTCCGAGTGTCTCCTGCAGGGCCTCTCAATGTTCTGAGATGCAGAGATTGAGACTCTTGGATCTCCTGACGAGGCATCTAAAGTAAAACCAGGGCCACCGACATCACACATCCGAGACAGCCCCCCTCCTATTAAAGCTGATCTGGGGGGGTGACAGGGAGGGAGCCAGGGCAAGGGCTCCGTTAATCATAAATGGTGGGGCGGGGGGGGGGGGCAATCTGATGTTATTTGGCAGAACATACTCCGTTAAAAGGGACAGGGCTGATGTACCGATCAGGGGATGATGGAAGGTCCGACAGAAACGGCCGGGAAAACATCCAGACTGTAGGCGGGGCGGAGATTTGTGGATGCGGGCGGTGTGCTGATTTATTATTCTCTTACTGATTTGTGTAACCCTGTGACCAGAATATGTGGTTAGAAGATGGATGGATGGATGGATGGATGGATGGATGTATACATCAGCTCTGGCTGCCTGTCAAAGAATAAAACCACCACATGGTTGCTGTAATTTGCATAACATTTCTCTGTAGTCTTTGGCACCAGGAACACAGTCACCCAGCTGGTGCTGCTTTAGGAGTCACCGTCCCGAACCTGCACACCTGCAGTCGCCAGCAATGAACCCAGCGAATTAACAGGCAGCATCTCAGATCTGCAAAGTCACTGCATCAATTCAGGGCTCTGAAGACACCACCGTCTACACTGAGCCTGTAGGAGACCATCAAAGGCATCCAGGCCAGCCTGCTTAGACAGTCGCAGAGCCACCTTTCAGAGGTTCATCACGCCGCCGACTCTTTATGGATGATGCGTTTCCTTCCTATTCTAATTGGTATCAAAGAATTAAATGCTCAGGTTATGCTTGAAGTCGTGTTTACTGTTCAGGTGGGATGAGGGACTGCTTTTAACACACAGTGCTCACAGAAAGTCTTGGGATGTTTGCTTAATACAGCAAATATACTGCAAAATAATAGATAATAATAGAAAATAATAGATATGTTAAACATTGTTATGAAGCTAATAAATTTGCAACATGTTTACAGTGTTAAACAAGCATCCCAAGACTTTCTGTGAGCTCTGTATACCTGAAGCGCTTCCAGCATCAGCTTCCAGACAGTGCCTCAGATGAGTGTCTAAAGGAGCTCTTTCCGTCCAGAGGGGCTCAGAGGGTGATCAAGCCACCAGGCAGACAGACGCCTCAAGAGACGCTACCATGTTGTGGCTGCAGCTTAAGCCAGGACATTCAGGCCTGACTGTTCCTCCAGGCTGGGCAGCTGTTGTAAGAGGCAGCACTTACCCAGTGGGTTAATCTCCAGGTAGGTAAAGAACAGCTCCTCGTAGAGGTTGAAGAGCCCCACCACAAAACTAGCCAGGACCCTGTAGGACGGAATAAAGCAGAGCTTAATCACCCCAGACCTGCATACCCTCTATTCCCCATAATTCCCTGCTTCCAATCTCCAGATCCTGCCCGATAACTGCAGTGTGGCTCCCATCTGTACCCATGATTCACTGCAGCAAAATAACACAGCCTTCCGAGCAGGACACGCCCACTCCCATCCATTTTGCTACACTACTGCCTTAATGAGAAATGTACTCCTTTCAATTCCGGATCCTATTTGATTTAATATTGGCATTATGTAAATGTATTACGCTGCCGTTTCCGCTTCTGCTTTCCAGGTGCCTTTTATACTAATAACAATGGTAATACTTTTATGGTTGTTTAAACCATATTACCCAATAAGAATCAATCTTCCAGTCCTGAATACAGCCAAGGTGCATGTGTTCAGAAGGAGGCCATCTGAGTTGGGTGAAATTTACATTTTATTTATCTAGTAGATCAGGGGTCACCAACGGTCCTGGAGAGCTACTATCCAGTAGGTTTTCTATCCTGCTTGGCTTCTGATGAGCCACACCTGCTCTTGGTATTTACCTGAGAACAAGTGTGGCTCATCAGAAGCCGGGTATGATAGAAAACCTACTGGATAGTAGCCCTCCAGGACCGGAGTTGGTGACCCCTGTAGTAGATGCTCTTAACTAAAGCAATGTGTGTTTTTGAGAAGGCAGGGTCAGACGGCCCCTGGGAGCTAAGGGCCCTGCTCAGGGGCCCCACAGAGAAATCACTCCGGAAGGTCGTAGGTTCAAATCCCATGGTCACTTAACTTACCCCCGTCACATGGAAAACGCCCCCACAAGTTCCGACAAACTGAACTAAAAGCTCGCTCGATCCGTCAGGGTTTTTTGCTCAAAGCTATAGCACGAAGCGGCTGAACGGCATCTGTACGTCAGCCTGGCGGAGCTTCTGGGAGATGCGCGAGGTAGATGTGGGTCTCTCCGCAAACCGGGAGCCAACAAGCCATTAACCTCAGAGACGGGGCGCGGAGGGGAGGGGGAGGGGGAGGGGGGTGACTCAGCTTTCACGTCTGGGATTTATGAGTCCTCCAGAGGCAGAATTGGCAGCCAGGCTCTGGTGGGTGATGTGCCAGTTGGGGGTTGGGGGGGGTGGGGGGCGATCTTTCTCAATGTCAGCCAACACAGGCAGCCAGGAACCTGCTGTCAGGGGGATCTGCCAGCCGGGGGTCAGGGGGCGAAACAGATTGAGGGGGCTGATGGCGGCTTCTGCACACACTTATCAAAACGATCGACTGCAGGGACGCGCTCAGACTGTAGCCGTGGTGAGGGTGGGACATGAAGGCAGGGGAAGGCTTCATTTTGTTAATGGAAGGCAGGTCTCCGAGTGTCATCATATAAACAAAATACGAGTACACACTGTTATTGCCACTTCCTTTCAAGGCATTTTATTTATGGGAACGGCGTTTAAGGAGCTTTCAATGGCCTAAAGGAAAGGGAGGGTTTTTGTTCTCCTCTGTCACTAACTGGACCTGAAACCCTGTCCCTGAAAATCTGCTCCAGCCACTAATAGGGTGAGAGTGTGTGTAAAAGGGTGGGGCCACTGGAGAACAAGCCCCAGCTGATTGGTTACAAGAGTGGCCCATCCCCTGTCACTCAACTATTCAAAACATTTGATTGGCTAACGAAAAGCTCGGCCCCACTGTATAACTTATGGCCCCTCTTTAACCCCTCTGCTAAGTGGGTCCACTTACGCTCTCTTGTCCGCGGGAACGTGCGTCAGAAGCCTTCCCTTGACTGCGTCCTCAGTCAGCTTCTTGTCCACGCCCAGCAGAAGCTTCTGGGCCTTGGCGTCGACGTCGCCGACGTCCACGCCGCCCTCGTGGTGGAAGAGCACGTAGTCACCCTCGCGGGCGGCATAGATGCAGATGTAGAATTCCTCCTCCTGAAGGACACAGCGGGACGATTAGGTCCTCCTGGTGTTTAAGGAACCGGTCTAACTGCCAGAAAGATTATGACCCAGGTTCTCCGTAAGGGAACTTCTTGTTGTGGCTATGTGACTAATGACCAAAGACATGATTCGTTAGCCTAGGGGTTCTCAACCTTTTGACTGGGACCAGTAAAACTTTTGAACTGGTGGGGATGGGGCATGTCGGGGGTCATTAAAAAAATAATTAAAAAAAAAGGTATAGCTTGAAAATATACAGTTAATTTTAGGAAATTAACCACCCCCGCGAAATCAACCAGTGTCCCATAGCCTAGTAGAATACTGGACCCCTTCTTTATCCAACCCAGTTTATATCCAGCATGAAGTGAGGTCTTAGTAACCATGCACCAAAATCCCATAACCAGAACAACGCACACGCTCCTGAGAGAGCACCAACACAGCGAGATGGCAGAGCATGTGTCACCTGCTTATGGGCCACGAAGGGCTCGATGAGGAAGTTCTTCAGGATCCCCTTTGCCTTTGCCACCTGAGGACACAAAAAGAATGTTCACGTTCACGTTCGTTTATCTGGTGAATGCTTCCATTAGGACTACGTTCAAAAAACAAAAAATAAAAAATGCATGGACCAATGGACACAAAGCATCAGCGCGGATGCTTATAGAGTCAGAGAAAAACATCCTATTATACCTCACAGACTGGCACTCGGAAAGTAAACCTGTAGGGCAATGTTTCCCAATCCAGCCTTCGGGACCCGGAGACAGTCGACATTTTTGCTCCCTCCCAGCTCCTGGTGCAAAAATGTGAACTGTCTGGCAATGAGACTTCACTTTTGTAAGAAGGACTGCTTCCTGACGTGTTACGGGGGGGGGGGGGGGGAGATGTGGTGTCTGACAGCAGGAGGCAGGAATGATTCCCAGTAACATTCTCCAGCACACCGTGGCAGAATGAGCCGGTGGGTAAATGTCCTCTGGGATTAAGAGGCTCTAACTCCTACGTAAACATGACAGCGACTATACTGAATATGCAGTTTATTCACTCACTGTCTAATACTGTCAGTTTGGGGGGGGGGTCCTCCCTTACTGGTCAGGATCCCCCCTTACTGGTCTGGATCCCCCCTTACTGGTCTGGATCCCCCCACTTCTGACTACCCATCCCTATTTTTTCCACCATGCATCCTGCATGTCAAGCAATTGAACTAAACTTCAGCCGTTTCACTGCGTCTTACCTGAACAAATATAATAATTGTTTTTCTTTTTATTTAATGACATTTGATTGGTCTCTTTTTGCCCCCCCCCCCCATCTTGCTCTCAACAACACACAGACAGATACTAAGGTGACAACAAGCTTGGCAGTGAAGGGCAGTGGCCAGCAGCGGTGGCCATGGAGCTGGGGGGGTCAAAGGGCCTGACTGATTTGCGGAGGCCGGAGCTCAGATCAGCGACCTTCTGATCAGGGGCAGAGTGTCCAAACCAAACGTGCCGCTTTAAGTCCCTGCACCAGCACCACATCACCAAGAAAACAGCAGTTGCACCTTTACAAAGTGACTGAACTCCCGGTACCTCTGAGGCAGTTCATGTCAGCAGGCAGGCCGACACCCAGCCGGGGGGCAGCGAGTTACTGCGGCGCCGCCGTGACGGGAGTGACTGGTGACATGTTAGAGAAAGAGCTAAAGGGATCAGGGGACAGGAAAGTGGAGAGTGGGAGGCAGGCCCACAAGGAGGAGGGATGAACCTCCCTCCCCGTCGTAAGGGAAACAACGGCAGGCTATTCGCGACCGAACTGGGACCTCTCACTAACTCACGGGAGAGAAAGAGGATAGGGAATACGAACCATAATACCACACAAGGAGGAAATGTTATGACACAAACGACTCCATTTGATATTTAAAGTATAAACGTGCAGCCGGGGGGGGATTTATAGCTGGAGGGCTGAGGAGACAGGCAGGCAGAATCTGAGAAATTAACATCGGGGGAGGAAGACGCCGTGCTTTTAAAGCTGCCCCTCGATTTCGGGAGGCATGCAGGGAGAGCCTGGACTGACTGGTTTTTTTTAATGTTGGTAAGACATGTTGAAGCACATCTCTTTCGCAGTATGTGGGAAGAGGGAGTTGAAGGTAATTACAGGCTTATGTGTGGGATATGGGAGCCAGAGATGAGCCGTTTCATCTGAGGTGTGACCAGTAATGGTGGTCCCCCCCACAAACTTGCTCCGCCCACTTGGGCGGAGCATCCCGACTCACCGTGGTTTCCTTCATAAGCCGGGGTCTCAGCCAATCCTGTACGCCTTTCAGGTCCAGGTTGACGCCCACCAGTCCCAGCTTTCCCCGCCTCTTGATCAGCTGATCAGGCTTTATCACCAGTCGCTGTGGAGCAGGACAACATGACTGCTGTCAGCCAATCAAGTCTTAGCTAACACTCAGGGATTTCTTAAGTAAGCTGCCATAAAACACACTATATCAGATATTCAAAAGAAAACATATAAAAAACAGAGGGAAAGGGATGAGCTCTTTGATATTTTACCCTGCGGCAAATATTCCATGTAAAAAGTGTATATTACAATTCCCAGTGGTCACCTGGTTATTCATATGACATCATTCAGGCACTTGGACTACTGATCATGATACTACCAACTACTGTATAGCAATCATGGGGATTTTTAGTACCTCTACTGAATAAATTATTAGGATAGCGAATTACCATAAACTGTTGTTTAATTTCATTCATTAAATACAAAGGTGGATCGTTCAGGTGCAGAAAGTAAAAATCCAGATTCAAGATCCAAGATTCCATTTACATTCCACTCTCTACACCAAACCAGTTTTTTTTAAAAACTGGATACCGAATACAGAGTACTCAACTGGTTGGTTGAAACTAAATCTTCATCGTGGATTTTTACTTTCTGGACCTGAACTTTTCACCTCTCATAAAACAAGCTGATAATTAAATCAGATCCATATCCGATATTAATGCATTCTCTGCGGTCAGGGCTCACTACTTGTACCTCTTAGTAACAGAGTATGAGAGAACGCCCTCACAAGGACCAATCACAGTCCACCATAACCACAAAGCAGTGAATAACATGGCAATAGCAAGCGGAATTGCTCAGGTTACAATCAGCGCTTGTGTTACAGTTGAGGTTTTGCGTACAACGAACACTTTATACTTCAGGGCAAAATTCACATCACATTCACAATCCATTCCAAACAGTTTTTTAAAACAGTGAATGCTGAGCTCCGAAAAAAAAAAAAAAACCATTAAAAGATGATGAATGTGAATATAGCATTAAAATATCCCAGATAATGAGGAAACCCTGTACACTCATATCAGCCAGCACCATACAGACAGAGTATAATAGGCAGAATTAAATGTCTTCCTCTAACATTCCTCTTGGCCTTTCACAGCTCCGTATCACGTTCTGACAGTCCAAAAGCTCTCTTTCTTTGAAAGGTAAATGCAAAGCAGGAAGACTCGCAGCTTCCCAGAGGTACCTGGCCAGTTTACACCCTCCTATCTCGTGTATGAACTTCCTGTATGAACCCCCTGGGCAGAGTTCAGGCACAAACTACCTTCTGGCCTACAGCCCAACATCTACTGCTCAAGACAATCAAATTACTTCCCATTTAATCCTGGAATGCGGCCAGGAATCAGGGGACAGCGGCGACTGTCAAGGCTAATTTCCAGATAAATCTTCTGGGTTTTGCATTGTCACGGCACACTGGCTCCAACCAAATATCAAGATAACGTGGAAGGCGAGTCCAGTATCGTCAGAATGAGACAGAAGGAGATTCTTTAATAATGGCATTATTAAAGAGTTCACTCAAGGACAATTAAATGAGAAATGTGTCATAGCTGACTTGAACGCAACAAGAATAAAATTAACAATGTCTTTGTTGTCGTGGGTGTAAGCAGTCACCTCACCTCAGTCAGCAGCCATGGGTGCTCTTGGGCGAGCCGGACCCAGTCTGTGTCGGCCGTCACACTGGCATACTTGAAGCGGTTCTGGACGGCGGCCGAGGTGCAGATGTACTTGTAGAGGAACTCCTTCCCCGTCTGCTCCGAGATGGCTTTGGCGGACATGACCGTTCAGTAGACAGCTGCCTGCGACGGAGGCGTAGAAGGACACCTCACTGCACCAAGTGACACTGCACATCACACTTTATCTGTCACGTTTGCGTACCTCCACAGTACCTAGTCATACGTCTACTTTGTCTGGTTTTGTGCTGTGTAATCCTGCTTGATGTTATACGTCACTGGCTGTATAGTGTAGATAAGAATTCTTTTGTATTTATGTACATGCACATGAAGGATATTGAACTCTGAATCATGGCCTCTATGCACCCCCACTGTCCACCTCCCCCCACTCTTGCCCCCAAAGCCCAATTTGTATCTGGTAAGAGGCTGAAACGTAATCCAGACCTGGACCTCCAGCACTTAGGCATGGCCGTACATCTGCACCTCTTGACTAATCAAGCTTGGGGAGGGGGAGGGGGGATAACCTGAGTGTTAACCAATCAGAGCAGAGAAAAGTTGGGTAGGGAGAAGCACAATTCAGAAAAAAGACACAGTGAGAGACAGTCATAGGCATGTTGTGAAAAAGTCAGGCAGCTGTGGTGAGTTCCAGACCCACAAAAACAGTTGGGGGGGGGGGGGGGTGCACTATCAAAGGGTGCTTCTGCTCAGCTGGGCTCAGGCATCACAGCAGGTCCAGCTATAAGGGACGCTCGACTGCACCCTCACCAACTGCTCAGGCCCCAGGATGCATTATTTCAGACCAAGTCCTTCCGGCATAAAATTTAGCAAATACATCGTTCAGCTCTAACATGAATTTACGCACCAAAACATTTGCAAATCTTAATAAAAGGGAAGACCAGGCGTTTTGCAACCGATTCTAGTTTCATATTGCTGTATTTCTACCTGTAAGAGATGACGTGAGACAGGGTCTGGAGGAAGGAATAGGGATTTTCCTTTTGGACTGGAGTGATGACAGGTTGAATTATATAGTGGAGATGGGGTTCGATCACACCCCAGGACATTCATGCAACCCACTTTGCAAAACTACACAACCAATACAAATGAACCAGGGCTGTCACGGGCAATCTTAACAGGAATCAAATATATGACTCCAAAGCACGGAGAGCGAAAAAGATGCACAGAGCATCTGATGCTGCATGAAGCAATGCAACAGCTCAACAGCTGTGTGCAGATGGGCGTATCTATATGGGTTGAGAAATCCTTATCATTCTCTGATCTCACTCTCCCAGCTGAGGGACACCGCACCCCGTTAATGATCAGGCTGCGTTGGCAAGTTTTCTGAGCACAGCGAAATGCATGTAGTTTGAATGAAACCAGCGGCGGACCTGAACACCTGCTGCCCGGTCGCTACCTGTGCGGCGGCAGATCAGGAACCGGCGGCGCACCGACACCGACCGGCGGTAAGCAGACCTTCGGACCCACGGACAAGGAATCGACACGCTTCCCCCCAATAAAACTTATGATGACTCTTGTCGAGTTGTTGTTTTCAAGCGCTTCTCATTTTCGTGTATTGTATTAAAAGATAGGTAAAGATAACCAATACACGTAAACAAGGCTCTCACCCTGCTTATCTATGAATATCAAATGAATTTCAGTTTTCTTTCCAAGCCTATTGGGCATTTCGTAACACAGCAGTGAGTCTTTCTCCTGTGTCATTGTCGATTTCTTCTTTACCTCCAATACACTATCGATGGTCTAAAATTTCTATCAGTGACAGGGGGTAGGAGTCCTGTAGTATGTATTAATAGGCAAGATTCTACCCAGATCCCTTCATAAAGAGGCAAATAAATGTTAATCTTAAAATCCAGCTGCACTGTCAATACTGATAGTATCGATACGATTGTAAAATATGACACAGACCAGCAACGTGAGTATTCATATATACAGCCAGGGTTTAGTGAACAATTGTCAATAAAGCATTGTGCTGGTAAACTTACTATCAGCATTGTACCAAAAATCAGATATTTTTCGTTTAATGGCCCTCACAGATTCATATGTATTAACTGCCATAGTGAAACTTCTACTATGAAGTCCTTATCTGAAGAGCAAGAAAAGGAACGGGTAATTAGAGGGGCGTTAACCGCTAAGTTTATTAGACAGAAAATCGCCAGTTAAAATTATCTACGCGTCTGACAAACGAATGCATTGGTCAAAAAAAAAAAAGTTAGAAGTGCGACAGACGTAATCAGTAATGCCAATGCAGGCTCGCTTACCAAGCCAGCTCACGCAGACACTGCTCCCCGGGACTTCGCACAGTCCCGCATAACAAACGGAGCGATGCCTCTAACTTCAGGTGCAGCAGCCGGCGAGTTTAAGCAGCGCCGCAAACCACGCGAGCTTCGTGCATTACCTGCCCTATAAATACCGCCTTACCTTTGCTGCGCGAAAATGGCAAGAAGAAGCGATCCCGGTCCGCAGAGATCCGTCTCACACTCCGGACGGCTGGCCAATGCTGATGCTGATGCTGCCGCTGCTGCGCCGCCGCTCCCCGACTTCACTCCAACCGCGCTCTCGTTATCCGATTAGCTGATTTTCCTCCGCGCTGATTGGCTCAGGCCACCCGGCGGAGCGGACCGGCCCCGCTCATTGGAGCCGGAGACTATCGCACGTTCGCCGAGGTCTGACCGTTAATTTCGTAAAAATCAGTGTATATATAGGCGTATATCAGCGTACATATATATGTGAATATCAGAAAATGCAAATGCGTAACCGTATATATGTGTATACGTACCTGTCACTTCAGTGGCTTTGAAATATTATACCTACCATAGCTGCGTGAATGAGTTATTCTTTTGAACCCTATTCGTTTCACCTAACAACTTCCTAAGAGTCGTAATTCATCAGGTTATTTGCATAAAGAGTGAAACACCGGGATACAAACAATGTGACAGAGGATTGGCAGTGCAGTGATTCCAGATGCCACAAGAGGAGGCCATGCACTATTACTGCCTTCAGTTTGGGGTGCCGTGACCTCACTCTCACCATGGGTGTCACTGGCATGCTAATTTCGATTTGACATTTACATTATAAAATCATATATATTCAGGGTTGTCAACTTTGGTCATTTGGCTGGCATGAGGTTCTCAATTTGCAGGTCTGCACACGCATCTACATGCATGTATATTACCTACGTAGTCTGTAGTGTTTGCAAACTACCCCAGTGCTTTTGATGTAGCTAATGTTATATATTATAAACCTAATATCAAGTTTTATATATAAAAACATGCTTATATATAAAACACAGATTTGCCGTAAGACTTCTTGCATGAGCGTGAGTTCACGCCAAATGTGTGAGCTGGCAACCCTGTATATTCGTAAATCAAAAAAAAAGGAGACTTGTCACATGACACTCGTGCCTCAAACTCTAGTCTTGAAACTCAGAGGGCTGACCCCAACTTCCCCTCTTTGCTGTGGGAACCACCTAGATCTGTAAAGCAACCTCATCAATTGCACAACACAGTTAATTCTTTGTCAAAATCCCCCCTATGCCCAGTCATTTAATAATCTTCTTTGATGTAGGATGTCACTTTCTCTGGGTCACTATACATACAAGAATCTCTCCAACAGAGGATGTCATTCAGGTAGTAAAAAAAACAAGCTTCCTTTTGAGAAAAAAGGCATAATGTGCATATGTATATATAACACAAGTAAGGTTAACAGACTCTCAGATGAAATCTCGCACAAAATCCCAAAGAAGCCAAGGCCCAGAGCTCCGTGGTCTGGACAGAAATTAGCTTTAACCCCACTGATCCAGCATTACATGATCAATTACACCAATGGAAGGCAGCCCTAATCTTGCAGGTTCTCGCTCCTACCTTATGAGTTACTATTTGAAGACCTACCACATACCGGCACTCCAGGATCAGGGCTGCCTACCCCTGACTGAAAAAGGACTGATTTTTCACTGATCCAAAACAAAGACAATAAAAGTAGGACATTGAGACACTAAATCCCTGACCAATCTATAAAGTGTTTGAACCTGGTGAGATTTTCACCATACTCACACCTTGGCCTTTTACCAGTAAATGTAATTCTCTTAACATTCCACAACAATTCTTCTCTGTGAGCTACAGGATGGCCAAGTCGGCAAGGCCCAACGGGGCAGCTAGGGATAAAGACCGCTGGCAGATTCTTCTGTCTTTGCATCATCCAGCATGGCCTTGTGCAATGGTGGCCGTTTTGCAAGAGTGCCTGGATATGCAGTGTTGGTTTGGTCAGTGATTCTGCTCAGGAAATTGCAGTAGTAGGCAGAAGTGGGCACATTTGTGAAGTGGGATGAGAGGAGAGGCAAATTTGGGACCGGCACTTCCGGAAAGCTCCAAGGGGATCTGAATATACAGGGTGAATGAGACAGGAACCATGATTTAGAGACTGTGGGGTAATACACTGTTATGGGCAAGTACAGAACCCTTAGATATCAACTCCTTTCAGATCGAAACATTTTACATGCTTCTGATAGAGACTTAGAGAGACAATATTTCAGTTGCATTATTTGGATTCACATTCGTAGCTATTCAACCCTGGAGTCTGATTAAATACCGCCACCTACAGGCGAAAAAGTATTTTACAAACCCCGGGTTATGTTCTAGTCATCCATTCAAATTGACCGTACAGGGTTTTTCAGTTAATAGGAAAGACAGTGACGCAAAAAGGCACGTTCTTATTTTAACCCAAGCAAACTTTATTAAGTGTAAAAAAATTTCAAAGGTGCAAAAATAGACCCCTCGCTTGCTCTAGGAACTACGCTAGTATGGTTTCCAGCAGTACAAACCTACATGCTAGTCTAAGTAAACAGTCAATATACGGTGTTAAATGTCATTAAATGTGCAAAATGGAGATCAAAAGCTTAAAATGGAGTTAGATTAACAATTCTGTCTATATGCAACTGGAAAGCAGGTCTGTAATCACCCTAACTGAAAAGTGCAGACTAAAAGTTCCTAAAGCAACATACATTTACCACCATACACTGATAACTGTTCTCAGCGTTCGTGCGCTGCTGTGTTCGACAAGTAATTTGCCGGAAAAAAATCCTGCAAGAGTTTTCACAGTTTTAACACGTCACAAATCACACCCACAAACCTTTGGTCTATTCTCTATGAAGGCAAGAGGTTCAATTGCTTAACCCTCGCGTATACACTAACAGCCATCATAGAGAAACAGTTTCCTTTCTAATTCACAAGTAGTTTAAAAAGAAGTGTGATATGGTTGGGGGGGGGGGGGGGGTTACACGTACCACTAAAAGAACCACCAGTACAAGATTCACTGACTTCACCCAGCATGCACATTGTAAGAGCAGGAACACCTTTTTTGGTCAGTTCATTTTGCGCATTAACCATTTTAGTTAGTAGAAAATACAGCAGACACCCAATAAAAGGCTAAAAATATGCCTTAAACACTTAACACTTTGTGAAAGAACGGGACAGGGGGTTCTAGAGGAAGTCGTAAGCAGTAGAGGCGAAGGCTCTCATTTACACCCATGGTCGCGGTAGCTGTCAAAATAGAAGGCACCAAAGGACAGGCGGAACGCGGACGTGATGGTCCTCAAGACTTTTGCTGACCTGTTGTTAAGAGCAGCCCTATATGGCCACCGCGGAAGGGAGGCGCACACCCGGATATGGATCGGGGGGGGGGGGGGGGCCTCAATGGCCAGTCCCGTACCGAACGGACTGTAAAGCGACGCCAGAACATTCACTGCCGTAGCATTAAAGACTCGCTTGAGCCAGGAACTGTAGGAAAAGCAGATAGGTGGAGGAAGGGGGGGGGGGGGGGGGGAAAAAAAAAAAAAGGTTGGGTGCGAGTGGGTTCTCAGAAGGCTTAAGGGTGGACTCATCCCAAGTGTTCCAGCAGGAACCTGAAGAGAACTGATTAACGCTTTGCCCACAGCACAGAGACTAGCGGAAGAGCTATCGAGGCGCTCTGAAGCTGGTCCTGCCACCTGCTTCACATCACAGTGCACTTCAACTTCTTCTTCTTCTCGCTCTCCTTCCCGCCATCCCCCTTCTTCGGCCCGTAGTAGCTGGAGAAGCAGGACTGGGCCCGGATTGGCTCCTTGAGGCTCAGCATCCACGCCCCTTTGCCGTAGTAGGTAAGGGCGCCCAGGTCCAGGTCCTGGATCTTCTCACCCTCCTCACCCTGCTTCTTTTGAGCGATTATCTCCAGCAGGTCCAGACCCGTCTGCACCGGCTCCACACCCTCAGCGCAGCCCAACGTCACGTGGGCGCGGCTTCCGCGGGGCAGGTCCTCTTTTTCGGAATCTTCGGGCCAAAGCTGGAGCTGCGCCTCGGAGAGGGAGACCTGGGCTCCAGCCGTGCGGGGCGTGATGAAGAGGGCCGTGAGCTCCAGCTCCGACGCCCGGCCGTAGGACTCGCACACCTCCTGGGGCAGGAAACAGAAGTGTCAGGAGGGGTTTGCCAAACTGCAACTGAAGAAATGTGAGGCGATTGAGCTCCGGGCCAGTTGAAAAAATCTCTGGCAGTGAAACAAAGATTCTTCCTGGCTGACGTCACATTCCGTCACTATTAAATGCCCTCTCCTTTCTAGAGATTTTCAGCCAGGCAGAAGCGATGCAAGCCAACATGACAAGGTGTGAAAATCTAACATGCAGGCCATAAAAAAAAATAAAAAAAATTCCTGACATGGTATATAGAGTTACAAATGACTCAAGGCAAAGTCTAAAAAGAAACTGATAATTCACTGGTAATTCACATGAATATATTTTTAAATACACTACTCATTTGTAGACTTGTAAAAGTAAGCTAATGGCCAACCAGACCAGTGGAAATTTATAAAAGGTCTGATGAAGTAATTTTTCTTTTTTTATATAAACAAATTAATACATTCAAGGGCAACCGTAGTGCTTCCGGATCTGTGTCAAGACGCAGCTGCCAACGGTGGTTGGTTTCTTACTCACATGAGCTGCAATTAACCAAGACACTTCCTGTAGTAGGAAGGCTTACATTTCTGCAATACCTTAGTAACTCCTCTACCTTGCTCTTGGAGCCCTCACTGCAAAAAGAGGCCCAACGTTCAACGATACCATCTACCACATTCTGTGGATGTTATTTCTAAAACTTGATATCAGAAACACTACACAACGGCACGTCCAACAAACATTGGATATTTTGCTTGCTCACAGCCTAGCACAAACACTGGAAAGACACTTCCGCTTTATGTTACTCTACAAGTTGGGGGCATAGCCAGCCGCAGAGAACGGTACAGCCAGCTTCACGGCAGAGTTCAGTCCCACCTGTTTCTCCATGTATTCTTTAGCCCCCTGCTCTTTTCCATAATCGCAGAACTTGGTGGTGCAGTGCAGCACGCCCTTATCACTGAAATACTGCTCCAAGTCCACTCCTTTCTCGGGGTCACCAGAAACTGCAAAACAGAAAGCTGGTTTAACAATATTCCCAGGAATCAGATAGAAGACAGACCTTGCTGATATGGACGTTTGGCATACTTATTGTTAAAGGGCCATGCATAATCTTCAAATCGTTACTTAGTGACGTGAGTTTGGCAGAACAACACATCGTTGTGGAATACTTACAGTCTCCAATGTGTTTCTTGAATGCATCCAGGTTGCCCAATATCTTCAGGAAATCGCTAGCCATGCTCCTCAGCTTGTCCTGATAGCTCGAGGATAGAAACCAGCCAAAAAAGAAGGGCACGGATGTCTCAGACATCGTGTTCAGCATGGTTTGCATCTGACTCTTGTCCAGTTTCCGGTGGGTTTTCCGGCACAGCTGCTCCACATTACGGTTCCAAGGAGTGCGGGGTTCAACATAGAAGGCCAAGTATTGGTGCTCCTCCGCCAGCTCCTCCAGACGGGCCACTCGACTGTGGGTGTGGTTGGTATCATCTACCACCACCACCTCTTTCGCAGAGGTCAGGCATTCCACAATCGCTGCATCCATGGCTTTAAACCCTTCCGCCAAGGTTGACGACTTCTCAGGCTTGATGCCATGGTTATCAGCACAGATGATGGTACAAAGGCCCTGGTAGGTGGTGTTGATAGTACTGGCCAGTTTGCTTTTTCCACTCCCAGGTAAGCCCCTCACAATAATGAGGGTTCGGGAGCTGCGGACAAAAGCCGTGGTGGCCTCATCTTCAAGGAAGGTGAAGGAGAATGAACCTTCGGCAATCTCTGTAGCTTGCGCATCTTCTGAGGCTTGCTTATCCTGATTCTCCTGTTCCTTTGACTCTGCCTCCTCCTGCTTTCCCGTCTGGTTCTCCTGTTCCTTTGACTCGGCCTCCTCCTGCTTTCCCGTCTGGTTCTCCTGTTCCTTTGACTCGGCCTCCGCTGGCTTTCCTGCCTGGTTCGCCACTTCAGCTTCTGACTTTCCTGTCACTTCTTTTGGCTCTGGTTGGGCATCTGGCTCTGGCTTCTCCATCTTGGTCTCCGCCTTTTCTTCCTGCTTATGGTCCACCGTCTTTTCCAGGATCTTGTCTACCTCTCCTTTTGGTGTATTTCCTGGCCCTGGTTCTTCAGTCTTGGCCACCTGGCCTTCTGGTTGAGTCTTCTGCTCCTTCTCTGGTTCTGGAGGTGGTTCTGTAGTCTCTTCCGGTTGCTTCTCAGGTACTGGCTCAGAGGTTTTCTCCGGCTCTGGTTCCTTTGGCTCCGCAGACACAGGTTCTGGCTGCTGCTCTGGCTCCTGTTTGCTTGCTGTGACTGGTTCTGGCTGTGGTTCCTCCTGCTTCTGCTCCTCCACAGACGAGTTAACCTGCGGGTCTTGTACGACGTCTTGATTCTCCATTTTACACACTTCAAAGTTGAGATGGAGTAGATCATTTTAGTAAAGATCAAGCAAAATTAAGTAGAGAACAATGTTTAGCATTCAAATATAACAAAGGCACCTTTATTATTAGATAAATATGCCTGTCTTAGATAAAATAAAATGAGCAAGCCTGAATGTGTCAAATATGCTGCAAAACTCCAAGTTATGAGGAACCTCATTACGTATGCCAAAATGAAACCCTTACCAATTAACCCCTTAAAATAAAAGAACTAGTCTGAAACCCCACCCAAAATAGCAGCATTTTTTCCTGCTTCATCTAGTTTCACTATGTACATTCCGTTTTATTAATATTTTAATGTGGAAAGGAGATGGTAAGCATGATAACTGAAACTTGGGACAATATTATTCATAAATTTGCACGGCGACTGGCATTTTGTGGTGAAATCGTCAAAGTACAAAGCTACTGCACTGATATGACTTACCACCATTTCCCTTGGGTTCCCAAGACGTGTAACTTAATAAAAATCCATTCAGAAAAAACCCATGTGCACAACTAAATCCTAGCTAGATACAAATTAGTTATACATTTGCCACACACGACCTTATTTTATTACTCAGAACAGAGCCCTCATTAAACCAGTGACCTTTCATGGAAATACCCCTCGCTTCACGTTTGACAAATAGTTTCCCAATCTATCTATCTAAAAAAAAACCCGTGAACCATGCGCATATTCATCTACTATATGTGAGAACTTTTTAATTCAAATTTAAACAAAAAAGGGGAACGTACTAAGAGCTATGAGAATCCGACAGCTGCAGACAGACACGTCCGTCCTTGGTTTGTGAAAGAGGCGATTTCGCCAAATTTCAATTTTAGAAAATGAAACCCAAAGCAACCCAGTGCCACAGTGCCAAAAAATGGCACCTAAAAACGATCAAATACCAGTTTTAAGTTTTACGAGAGCACAGTCTTTACTGCTTCTAATAAAATATTTAATAGTGAACCGGTAGTTTTAGATACAACTAGAAATTAAGCACAATTATAAACAATAAATGCATCAAAAGGGAAAATGAAGTAGTGAATAGGGTGACTAGATACACAACGAGAGAAATTTGGAGGAACAATGAAACGGGGAGTGGCTGCCATCGTGGTGCAAGACAAAACAAAACAGCGTGATGTACTTATTAATATAAAGTCCAAACAGCGGATTTACATTTCAGCATTTGCAGACACACCATTCATAAAGCGCACGGACGCGCAAATAAACGTCCACACGCAATTTACACTTTCGCCCGATATGTTGAAAAGTTTTGCCGATTCGGCTTCACAAAAATCTGACGTTAATTTCCTTACCGAGAGCGATCGGGAACAAAAGTAATGCGGCCGAGGGGCGGCTGGGGCTCGCCGGCTATGGCAGCGGCAGGCGACGGACGGCTCCCAAAAGCCCGGTCGTAGGCGAGCGGGGGGGGCGGCGTGGCGCTTCCTAAGAGGCCGACCTCAGTGTCTGAGAGATCAGGAAAATGAGGACGGAAATCGGCGGCTCACTGGCAAAACCTCAGCCTGCGCATCGCCAGACAGCAGGACTCCCTCTCGACGCGCCCTCGCGCGTCCTCCAATAAATACGCGGCGCAAACTGACGCTCCCCCCCCTTCGCCTCGTTTAATTCACCTATTACTTTTCAATAGCGTTTATAAATTCCCAACTCTTTACGATGTTTGACGAGGTTGAAATTAAATCGACGATCTTATTACGATTAAAACTGACAACAGAAGAGTTAAGCCGGTCGCATTTCATTTGCTGTTTCATTTGACAGAATGCATGGTACTAGTGCACATACTTGCCACCATTTCTGTCTTTACAATAACCCCCTTCATAACCGGAGGTAGCTTTTGATTTACAGTTCAGTGTTTTCACTAGCTTTAGTAGTGTAGTGTAGTTCATACTAACGTTACTTTTATTTTCTTTTGATCTGTCTATTTCTGTCTGAATGATTTTTTTTATGGACCATGAGTCTGCAAATAAATAAATATTCTATTCTATATATAATATATATTCTACTACATCGATGTAAGACTAAATGCTTGTATATCAGACCCTCACTAGTCATAGAAGGTACTGACTGAGACAAGAAAACAAAGTGCCACAAGGCTATCAAGTGGTGGTTTATAAGCAATGACAAAGGAATATGTGCATTGAGACGACTTTATTAGCAGTTGCTCATTTTATGTTTTAATCTACTAAAACCACACTTTTTTCCCTTTTTACTTAGGTCGGTATTTTCATCCAGTTGCCTGATGTTCTTCAGGTGATATTCTCAAGTAAGTGGCTTCATCTCCGACTCAGTCATGTGCTGTCTTGCTTTACAGAGAGCCTGAGAAGAGAGACAATACGACTGGTGAGTGTTTTTATTTTATTATTATTATTATTATCCATCCATCCATCCATTGTCCAACCCGCTTATCCTACTGGGTCATGGGGGGTCCGGAGCCTATCCCGGAAGCAACGGGCACGAGGCAGGAAACAACCCTGGACAGGGGGCCAGCCCATCGCAGGGCATATTATTATTATTATTATTATTATTATTAATTTACAGTACAGTTTCAAACCATTTTGTGTTTATGACAGAGGTCCAGACCGGCTCAAGGAATTAAGCAATAGAAAGGAAACAAAAGAGACCGACAGTGAGCCTTATTACCTTCTGAATTGCTTCTCTAGCTGGCTTATCTTGCAAGACGCTGGCTTGGAGTAGAGCTTCCTCAAAGTGGGCCACGCTAGACTCGTAATCACCCAGCTTCCCTTGGCGGGGAGCACGCAGAGAAAAAAAATATTACTGCAAATAAATGGCAGCTGGGACCTTAAACAGCATCAGAATATGGCAACGAGTGGATAGATGACAAAGAATAATCGGAAAACAATAAATTGGAAACTTCATTAAAAAATAATAATCTGGCTGTTTACTGTTTCGCTGAAATGAGCGGTTTGTATGTTCTGTGTCATAAACAGGCTCCCCAGTGAAACATGGCTAACGCTCAGGTCTGCAAACCCAGTGACCTGGGGAGTGGGGGTTAGGCCCTGCCAGAGGGGGGGCTTCGAGTCCAAGCCAGGGCTCACCCTCTGACTGTGCCACCAGCACACTGGCGTTCAGCCGCCACTTCTGGTCTCCGATGTCGTCTGCCGCAGCCAGTGAGCGCGAGCCGTAGTCCCGGGCCTCCGCGTACCGTTTTAGCTCCAGGTAACAGCGTCCAATCTCGTGGAAGAGCCACGCCCTCTCAAGAGTGCTATGAGCAAGAGGGATCTTCTCCTCCCAGCTATGGACACCAGTAAAACAAGAACTCTGAACAGCTAGCTATGAGGAGCAGCACATAGTTTACGCTGCAGGACTGGCTACAACGTTTCCCATCCCAGTTCTCAGGGACATGCAGACAATCTATGTTTTTGCCTCCTCCCAGCTCCCGGCAGGGAGCAAAAATGTGGAATATCTTGCAGGGAGCAGGGAGGGAGCAAAAATGTGGACCGTCCCGACGATCAGTTTGAGAATCACTAGGCTAGAATGCTCAGGTTCAAATCCCTGGTTAGAATGTACAGTTGTCCTCATTAAAAAATGAAAGCTTATGCAGCACATATATGCCCTATATATTTCTTTTTTGCATCAATGCTTTTGCAGAAGGAAATGTGATCACCCTCTAGGGAGAAAACGTATCTAAGCTTCCACTGCAATATGCAAATTGATTCAAGGTCTACTGGATAAAGTGAAAAGAGCTGCATCCATATTTAAGCAGAAAATAAACAAAAAAAATAGCTTTTCTTACACCTGTATGGCTTGAGGAAACTTTCCAATCCGGGCAAACACCCGGCCAATGTTGTCCAGAGCTCTTGACTTTGCGTCCGTAAGATTTCTGCCAAAATCGGTATTGGAAAACATCAAAGTTGTTAGGAAATCCTTGATCCAGACAATATACATTTTTACTTTGCAGTCTAAAACATCAATGCAAAACTCTTTCGACCATTGAGCACCTTTAGAAGATATAGATATATATATAAGCATTTATAAAAAATAGCTGTTTTTTCATCAAAATTTTTACCCCTCTCTGGCCAGCTCCAGGTCTTTCTGGTGACTGTCCAGTGCCTTTTTCATCTCACCCATATCAAACAAGGCATTGCCGATGCAGCTGTGCAAGTTACCCAACACTTCCACCTTATTGAGCACTGTCCCTTCTGACCAGTTCTGCACTGTCTTAAGGACCTCACGAGCCTTCTTGAGGCTGCCCTTTGCATTGCCTGATGACAGGGCTGGAAAAAATACAATCAAAGCTGGAATATCACCACCCTAAATCCATTTTCTTTTATTAAGCCTTAGATATATAAACCGGTGATGCAATAACTGGACAAGTATTTTAAATCCTCTCCTTTTAAAATTACCTGATTTTATGCACTTAAATTGAGCATTGTGGAAGGTCCACTCATATTCTCACCTGCATCGATCTCCTCTAGGCTCTTCAGAACATAGCCGGCAGTGTTCGAAGCCGAGCACGCCTGGGTTCTGGTCCACTTCTGCCGCATGAGCTTGCGGTCCCGCTGCCGGGCATATATGGGTTTCTGCTGACGCCAGAACTCTGTGCGCGTGTCCAGGTAGGTGAGGCAGCCAACAATGAGGTCCTGGAGCTTCTCTCCATTCCGCATTCTGTCTTTGACCAGATCTGCAGGGCATGTGGCATCATTCTCAGGCAGACCAAGTCTTTCAACTTTTTGGCAAAGTCCTCCAAGATTAAACTGCTTGACAAGTACACTTATTTTTCAGAACACAAAGAATGACAGCAATGAAACTACTATTAATGGTGGCACAGAATTTCTGCTAGGTCAAAACCTGGTATACAGTCAAAATAAATGACTGGATAATTAAAAAAAAATCTAAGGTTAATATATAGTTTAAAATCCAGATTGCAGATGGTGTTTTACAGTGATCCACACTGTTCCATGCTAGGCCCATTCCTGCTGAGTATGTAGGAATAAGGCTGTCCTGAAGGCATCACCTTCATCTTTCAGCAGCTTCTCCAGGTACTCCTTATCACTGTGGAGCTCCCCCAGCAGCTGCCTGGAGATCTTCTCACTCTTGGGGTCTTTTCGGCTCAGCTGTTGCTCTTTCTTTGGGGGTAGGATTGATGCTTTCAGCTTCCCCTTTTTACCCTGCTGGGGTCCAGATATCCCGGTGAAGCGGGGATCAACAATGGCGACCCACAAGAACTCTACAGAACGCTGTAGATACCCACCTCAACTGGTTTATGGAAGACGGACAGATCTCCTTTATTCTCGAGTTTTACTGATGAAGGGCCTAAGAGGAATGGAGTCATGTTATTAGAAAACGATGGCAGCCCTGTAAATCCTTCTGATGCACAAGACATATAAATACTCTGCACGAAAATGTAACTTTGAGAATAGAGTAAAAAATAATACAAACACTAGAATTAGTACCTTTTAGAAAAAACAAATTGCCCTAAAATATGTACTGTTTTCACAAGTTTGAAAAAAGAGGAACTTAGTGGAAACTAAAGATTCTAGAACCATATAAACTGCGTTACAGAGGAAACGTAATTTTGCCAAGTGTACAAAGAAGAAATAATCTGCTGCACTTACTGCCAACGGAATTGTCAATGGCCTCCTCAGCCTTCTGTATCCCCAGGCGGAACTGTCGGAGCCCCGGACGCAGCCTGTTTCCACGATGGTAAAACACTAGAGCAAATTCAAAGTCCCCCAGATTGTACAGTGCCTCTGCCTTCTGATAGAAACCCTGGGGTTTTTGTGAACAATCAAAATCAAAACAAAGTTAAACCATTTTGCTGACTGTACGCTCTTCGTGTTGCAAGTTAAATCTGCACAAACGTAAACCTGAAAGACCAGTTATTGGACTAATTGTAAGGTCTTGATATGTACTATTTCCACCACATCTGTCAACAGAAAACAACAGAAAAATGCATGAACCTTAAAAAATTCTTTATCTTCCTTGAGAGATGCTTCGGCGTCTAGCAGTGCATTCGCAGAATCCCCCGTCTTCACGTAGCACTTAGATCGGGCTACCAAGCAGTTCTTGTCATTTGGCTGCAGTGTCAATGCCTGAAAATGCATCACACGTGTTCCTTTGGAAACCAGCAACATTGTATCAATGGTGCTGGTGCTGCTTAGCTGGAATTCTGCTGGAATTCTGCTGTGACCTTTTCGTTAAAACACTCAATTTAGTAACAGTACAAATGCAAACTGCATGTAATTTGTTTGGCCTGCAATTGTATTTTGTGTTGCAATTCAGGTCGATGATAAAATAAGTGATAATGCATGAAAGGTTCGATAAAATAACCTTAGTCTTGGTTAATTATTGCCAGACTGCTGTAACTTCACTCCGACCATGCAAATGGAGAAGTGCCCAGTGCGTCATGAATAAACGTGTTTGCTTGAAGCGAGTCGCAGAATGCAGGCTGCAGCCATATCAGCAGGTCTTGTAGATCAGATAATCGGGACATAAATAATCAGGCTTCCAGCCCTGCAGGTTTGGAGCGGAATCATCTCAAGTCTGGCATGTACATGCAGCTACTGTGAATGTTATACTTGAGGAAAAAGAGCAGCTCTGTTGCAATTATAACCGTAATATTAGCTTTTTGCACAGCAAGAAACACGAAGCATTTCAGCTCATGTTATCTCCCCTTTAGACATGTACAGAAGATCAAGAACATTTGCCTCTATGCACATCTAGACTGTTGTCAATCAGAACTTTTCCACTGTGATTGCTAATGAAGAGATATCCTTCAATCTATGGTATTGTGTTGCTATCTGTAGGGATTGGCACCACGTGAGGTTGTCACACTACCCTGGTTCCACTTCCTCCATAAGCACTTATTTCTCTTCTATTTTGCCTCCAGCAGTGCAGAGGTCTGTCCAGCTCTTTCTGCTTCCATGCTCATATTCGTTTCTTTAGAGCAGGGTTTCCCAATCCGGTCCTCAAGGACCTGCAGACGGTCCACATTTTCGCTCCCTACCAGGAGCTGGGAGAGAGTAAAAATGTGGACCGTCTGTTGGTACCTGCGGACCGGGTTAGGAAACCCGGCTTTAGAGAACTCTGCTCTCCTTTGCTTGCTCTTCTTTCCCTGTAATCCTATCAAATGAACTACTGAACTTTTTCAGTATAAAGCACCGTTACTGTCTGAATATGCGTGCATAGCTGCTCTGCGGAAAACCGGCATGACATCTAGGGTGGAACCGGTCTTAAGGCCTCTGCTTCCCAAACAGACCTTGTATCACTTTTTAATTTCACTTTAAATTCTGCAATCTGTTTATTAAAAATCTTACTCATATCACCGATTTCAACTTCTCAAACAGGGCAACAGGCATGTCCAGAATGCCCTCCGAAGGTCATTCTGTCCACTACGAAATATTTATTTTTAGATTAGACATTACCTGCCCATTTATCAGTTGGGTGTTGAAAATGAGTACACACGTTTGTTAAAGTGGGATCAGACAGTGCAATTCTGGCTGGATGGACTAGTGGTACTCTAAAAGCTGCAAGCGTTGCCAATACCACTGGCCAAAATATTTAACCGTATTAGCTTTGAGATGGTCATGCTGCATGGGTTGCTTTATTCATATTGACTGCAGGTAACTGCTGCTGACGGCCTTACCCTGGCTCAGCTAGTGGTATCTACAGCCTTCGGATTCACTGCCTGCCCATCTGATAGCGGTTGATAGTTGATACACGACATAGGGCTACGGCGCATGACCGGTAGCGCCGGTTATAGAGGCCTGCTGGCAGTGAACACACTGCTGACGCCGGGTGATCGAGGCTACCCGAAGTTACTGGACTAGCAGACACGTCTGACAAACATATATCTGCTCAGAAGTTAGTCATCATAATGAAAACCGCAGCTCATTCTCATACCGGCTGTTAGTTAAATAAAGTATCTACGGTATTGTTTCCATGGTCAATTAAGTGTACCAACCAACAGACCTACAAAGTCGGAATCCGTGGCTAGTATGTCAGTGAACAATATATTGTTGTTCAGAGTTGGTCAGTTATTTGTATTTAAATTCGAAATAAAATGCATTCTACATTTTAGGTGAGCATGCACATCATGGAATGAAATGCGCAAATTTGGAAGCATTTTATCTGTAAAGCTAACCCTTCCAAACGCACCCATACAGTGTAACACTGTGTCCTGCATCTCTGTAAAAATGTTTTATACGTCTCCACCCGCTATAATAACCATTTGCGAGGTAAACATACATATAAAGGAATAAATTACACTTAAATCTAGAAATTCAACAGATTATATATACAGCTGATATAAGGAAACATTCTGGTTTACCACAAACTCATTCTTTATAAAGGACTGTCAATCTGACGTATAACTAAATTCCAATAAATTCTAACACGTGACGTGAACACCATATACATTTGTTTTACCGTAGTGTAACTTTCAATGGCTTTCAGGTATTCGCCTTTATGATAAAGCTGGTCCCCTTCGGCCATATAAGTGGTAAACGTGCTCTTGGGTCCTTGATCTCTTTCGGTATCTGACATTATAGTTGTTTTTCTTGTCTACCATCAGCCAGTGTCCACCTTTTAAAACCGCATCTATCACCATCCGCACTGTTTATTTTGCTTGGCCTCATATTGCCGTATCCTAGCAACCGACCTAACACACAGTGCTGGTTTTCGCTTCCCGTAGGACCACGTGATAGGCTTGGCGTATCCAAAGCGACACACTGCACGTTGCGCAATGACGCGAGTGTTACCCGGTAGACGTCAGTTTAACCCTTTGTGGAAGAGCATGCCTAAACATATGTCTCGTTGTAATGTAATAATGTATAAAATTACATGAAGTACACGAACTGTGCATTCAAGCCAGCCAATACAATTGTTATACACAGTTAACACTAGAGAATATTTAATATACTGTAACATACAGATTAAAGGTATCTTGTATTACAATTTGACCGTCTCGTTACAATGGCACGTCAACAGTGCCATTATATAAGAACAGTCAGTTCTTGAAGTTGATGTGCTGGAAACAGGAAAAATGAGCAAATGTAAGGCTCAAATTGCGATGGCTAGATGACTGGGTCAGAGTATCTCCAAAACAGCAGGTCATATGGGGTGTTCCCATATGAACCGGCGATGGGGTCCTGGGCGCCCAAGGCTCAATGACGCCATGACGCACATGGGGAGCAAAGGCTAGTCCATTTGGTCCGATCCCACAGGAGAGTTATTGTAGCACAAATTGCTAAAAAAGTTTATGCTGCCTGTGATATAAAGGTGTCAGAACACACAGGGCATCGCAGCTTGCTGTGTATGGGGCTTCATAGCTGCAGACCAGAGTGTCCACCACTGAACGGCCTACAATGGGTATATGAGCATCAGAACCGGACCATGGAGCAATGGAAGAATGTGGCCTGGACTGATGTCATATTTCTAATACCTTATATGGATGGCGGGTGTCATTTACCTGGAGTAGAGGTGGCACCATGATGCACTATGGGAAGAAGGCATGCCGGCAGGGCCAGTGTGAGGCTCTGGGCAATGTTCTGCTAGGAAACCTTGGGTCCTGGCATTCATGTGGATGTTACTTTGATACGTACCACCTTCTTAAACATCGCTGCAGACCAAGTGCACCCCTTCATGGCAACCAAATTCCCCGATGGCAGTGGCCTCTTTCAGCAGGATTATGTGCCCTGCCACCCTGCAAAAATTGTTCAGAGTTCAAAAGAGTTCAAGTTGTTGACTTGGCCTCCAGATTGCCCAGATCTCATGCTAATCGAGCATCTGCATGATGTGTTGGACTAGCAAGTCCGATCCACGGAGGTCCCACATCCTAGCATATAGGACTTAAAGAATCTGCTGCTAATGTCTTAGTGCCAGATACCACAGGACTCCTTCAGAGGTCTTGTGGAGTCCATGCCTTGATGGGTCAGAGCTATTTTGGTGACACAAGGAGGACCTACACAATATGAGGCAGTTAGTTTCAATGATATGTCTGATTGGTGCAAATGGAAAAGGCTTTGCTGTTCCTTTGATTTTTGGGAAAAAAAGATGATGAAAATCATTCACACAGCACTCATATTTCGTAATGCTAACATTAAGTAGAAATTTGTGTGAAGCCGTCATATGAAGTTCCATTGTTTTTGGAATATAAATTAAATCATGCACGAAACAGTTTGGAAAGATATTCCCTTTTCATTGTGTAGAACACCAGATGGTGCAAAAGTTTGTTGATTATGAACATCAAATACACGCATGAGAATAGGAACATATTGCATGGGTTAAAGTTAAATTGTAGAATCCAGTACTTTTTAGCAATAAACTTCAAGCTGAGTGTCTTACACTGCACACCACAATTCTAGTCATTAACCCTAATCCTATACGTCTCAGTGTGGGTGAAGAGGGTAATCAAACATTTTGAAAGCAGTCACTACATTAATTCAAGTTACCTAATGAAATAAATTAAAAATTAAACCAGAATGACACGGCAGCCTCGTATCTTTCGAGTTTAGGGTCCTTGAAAAAGAATGAAAGGATTTTCTTTCATCCTCTGGTTTTCAAATAAGCCAACGGTCATTTTTTAACTACTGACATTTCCCCGTGTACATCCAGGAAACTGTAAATAAACACCGACACACCCTGTTGAACATTTATAACAATGACAATGTTACATAAAGTGAAATGACTTAAGTAATCATACTGATTCAAGATCAATAAATACTTCCTACTTGTTTTTATTTAATTACAACCATAATGTATACACAACACATAGGACAATATATACATGTGTCTTATGCCCTTTGCTTGACTAAATTGTTTTTATATCTAGTCATCACTTCACTGTAGTCCAGGTGCAGGTACATTTTTAAATGTGCTGGTTCTTCTCACCGTGCTGTACCACACCAACCGTGTGCAAGTAATCAGACAAGGAGCATTTCTACTGGCCTAGTCACTGCATTGCCAACGTCGCTTAATGCTAAGCTCCCTTTGACAGTCACACTTTTACTGATGATTGCTTCAGTTGTGACCCTTCAGCACTATCACTTATATAGACAATACCTCTATGGCCACTATTAAAAGGATCACAGATATGGGGCAGAGGGGGAGGAAAAGAAAAAGGGAAAATCTATCTTGATTTTAATATTTAGAAGACAATCCATGGTTTTAGGCTGTCATGTCTGCATTTCCTTTGGCTACCAGTGTATAAAACATCATTGAAAGTTACTCAGGAATAATAATTATTATAATAAGATAAAAGTTAACGGCGTCTTCTCAGTCCATTACTACCACGATTAGCCTTTAATAAACCATAAGCTGGCCATGGATTTTAGATGTTGCATTATAAAACAGGAAATGAGTGCTGAATGCAGAACTACATATAGGTGCATGGATTTTGTTTTGTTTACATACAACTATTTCAGTACAAATAGAAGGAATGAATCCAGTGCACTGAAGTTTCCCCATAATGCCTGTCACCTTGACAGGTATAAAACCCAAATCATGTGAGTACAACTATCATGGCTGGTATAAGTTGCACAGGTATATTACACATCTTTCCGGTGGTGGCCATTTGGAAGCACCCTTGTGTTTCTAGACAGAACTGTGGAGACGTGGAGGGGGAAAAAAATAAAAAATAAAATTCTCACTCCTACATTTACTTGTTTTCCATTCTTGCGGAGGCAACCAGAGCCAGAGGAATGCATTAAACGTGCCATCAATTGAATGAGACGGTACAACGGTAAGCTGCATGTGTCATAAGGCACGAAGTCACTGAGGATAAAAATAACCAAGAGTGACTCATAATGTGAGTCACACCAAGAGAGAAACAAGAGGGACACAATAAATATCTTTGTCCAGGATCAGAAACACAAGACAACGGCCATCACAAAGAAATAAAATGACCATCTGCTTTAAAAAGGAGAACACGGGGCAGCTATGTTTATTTACATAATTGTTTTTAAAGCAGGCCGCAGACAAACTGTCACTTCGCATTTGTGTAAGGGTTTTCCAGTGGGGGGTACATTCCTCATATTCCCAACAACAGTGTTTCTCAACCCGGTAGGGGCACCCCCACACAGTCCACGTTTCTGTCCCTCCCAGCTACCGGCAGCAAAAATGTGGTCTATCTGTCGGTTCCCGAGGACCGGTCTGAGAAACACTGCCCTAAAACATCTTCAAACAAGCAAGCACCTAGGTGCTCCCTTGAAGTACCGCAAGTACCTTAAACATAAAAAAAAAATACTACAAAGACAACAGTTTATATACCAGTAAAATTTACAATGCAGCGATGGAAGGATGGCGACGTCAAACGCTGACCTGCGGCGACACTGAGACATGACAGGGGGTCATATTCCACCCCCCCACCGCCTCGTGCTCTTCCAACAGCGTTGTTCTACATGCTGGACTGTTAGCGATATTCTATTCACCGAGACTGTACATTTATCCAAGGGCATGTTGCTGAATTCACAAGGCATTCACAGGGCAAACACGTGGTAGCCATTACAGTCTCCAGGATTTACTCCACATTAAGCCCCGCCCCTCCCTCACCCCATATTAAAATCGAGACACTGAATAGTCTCGGATACATTCAGCCTCCAATGACATTTCTTCCTGGCTCATGTGGCAGTAGAAGACATGCTTTTGTTAATATGCTCTTGGGCAGCAAATGAAGAGTATCAATTCAAGTTAACTCAACCAACTTTCTACATGGTAAATTCTTTACTCTCCTCGAGGTGTGAAAACCTACTGGCACTGCAAGAACCCCAACTTCCTTTCTGTCTACCGTGAGTCCGTTACAGAAAGCTAGACTTCGGTTTCCACATTTTCTTGCAAAATATTAATGGCTAGATTTTACATATCCAAAGCAGATGTGTCAATCAAAGCTTCCCAACCGTTGTAGAATGATGTTTAAGGTACGACTCTGAAGACCCAAGCATTTTGTTTCTTTTGTTTTTTTTTTCTCCCTGAAGAATTTCAAAACTAACGTCTTTTGTAGTGTAATGTATTTGCAATTTGTCTTCGAGTGAAAGCATTCCATAAGTACAGTATACACAGCATCCAACTTACAAAACTCAAGAACATGACTGAGGCGGCAGGACAAGTCCATGTGCATGAAGTCCACAGCGAGGCTACGGTATGAATGTAACGGAGACTTTAGCCAAATTGAAAAAAGAAATTGCCAGGTCCAGAGGCTGGAGAAAAAGAAAAAGTATAAATTAAGTAGAAAACCAAGCAAATTTGTACAACTGAAATCCAACAGTGTACAGCTAGGATTTCCAAAGCACACAAATTACCTTCGAAACTGAAGCCGCCAGGTCCCCCAAAGAACGCTTTGAAGATGTTATTGGCGTCAAAATCTGAAAGTTGAGATTGCAGCAATTTGCCAGTGTTAAAGTTTCTCAATGGAAGCAATCCAGAGGATAATTCCAGAACAACTAGTAACTTGCGTGTATTCCTCATAAAACAGGAACGAACATGACTTTGTAATCAGCTTAAAAATCAGAATAGAACTTAATCTCAGGTAGCAATAAGACATTCTGAGATAGACATTTTTCTTGGAGTGGTAACAGGTGGTATGGTACTGATTACTATGCACATTAATCAGTTCCGGGGTTGACTGAGAACGTGACCTAATACACGGAGAGTAATTTGTTTAAAAATGCTACAGTTTTAGGTGAGGTACCTTTGGAGTTCCATCTTATCTCAGTCGGCTACGTGCAACTTTCAGCCCCACTCAGCCATGGAAAAACATGGCAAAACAGAGGAGACTAACCTCCCATATCCATGCCGTCCTCTTCCAGGTCATGGCCGCTGTCGTATCGAGATTTCTTCTTGGGGTCAGAAAGCACGGAGAAGGCCTCGCCCACTTCCTTGAACTTCTTTTCTTCTTCTTTCTGAACCTCTGGACTGGCTGAACTGTGGCGATCTAAGTGGGGGTTGGGAGATGTCCGTTATTGGCCTCGATCCAATACAGATCTCCATAAACACTGACATAACCCTAAAATAAAATCTGCAGAATAAGATGTTTTATGGAGGCTACAAGGACAGGTGGAAGTAAATTGCATCATATAAGCAATGTCTTCCAACCCGGGACCCCCAGCCGGTCCACATTTTTGCTCCCTCCTAGCTCCGCATTTTGGTAGGAAGGTGGGAGGGAGCAAAAATGGGGGCCGGCTGGGGGTCCCTGCGGACCGGTCTGGGAAACACTGATACAAGCAAAGTCAGCTACTTTGGGACAGTACCAGGGTGATGCATGAGGGCCCGCTTGCGGTACGCCTTCTTGATCTCCTCGTCTGTGGCGCTCTTGTCCACCCCAAGCACTTTATAGTAATCTTTCCGTTTGCTCTTCTTCAGCTCCAGTTGTGCATTCTTCAGGAGGTTCTTGTGCTCTGGAGGACAGTCCCAACACCCCTAATTCACCACCAGACAACTTACCGATAAACAGACCCCACCTTTTAATAAACTGACTTCGCACGACAGATCTAACACCTACACTGCAGTAGTCACAATAACAGCAATTTCCTTTTAATAAAGTGAAAATAGCATCGATTGCCATAATTTTTAAATCAGTCTAGCCTGTTGTTCTAAAATCAGTGGCTTATGGATTTTCTTACTGGAGCGTCACCAAATGCAAGAGGCATCTTATACTGCAATATGGGTTTTTTGAATCTGCAGTTATTTGTTATTTTGTCATGTTGACGGCAACCAGGGCTATATTCACGTTGAGAAAACACTGAATAATCAGAACATTGTATAAAAAAAGTATAAAATCGCCAAAAAACAAAAATTACTTTTCGATTAACAAAAAAACAAACAAAAAAATAACCTGAAAAAGCCTCTAATGTGACTTTACTGAAAACCTCTGTTAAAGAGTCAGGAAAAGGACAGTAGGGTAAAATGTGCTCGACAGCCAAAGTAGTGTTACATGCAGGACAGAGAGGTGGATCTTCACCAGCACTTAAAGTCCGCAGCCGTTAAGCAGGTCGGAAGGTCTGAGGGAAACCTAAAACAGGAGCTAATGCCTGAATTCTTCAAAATGATCGAGGTGGAATTTTTAAGTTCTTATTTTGATCAACCGACATGACAAGAAATTGCCCTTTTTATTCCATACACACACAAAAAAAAAAAAAAAACACATTCGAGTCCAAATTCCCCCAGGTCCTTCTCCAGTAACGTGCACTTCAGATAAACTGATGACCTGAACATTCCATTCGGTGCAATAACATGCCTGCACACATCCTGCTTGCCCAGCCAGAACTTCCCCTGCCCTGCGATTAACGTCAGGTGAAAAAGGCAAGGAGTGCACTCTACACCTGTAAGAGTCTTCATTCTGCCTAAAAAAAAGTTGGATCAAACATTCACAGAAGCTCTGAAGAATTTAATCGTACACTCTAATCGCAGCCAAAAATCGCACACCTGAATCATGCTATGCTGTGCAGCTATTCAAAAAGCGTGGTCTACCTTTCGTCTTCTCCGTCTGATAGACCTTCTCGTAATCTCGGACGGCTTCCTCGTACATTTCTGTGTCCATGTAGCTGCATATGAAAGGACAAATCTGAGTGTGCTGCCCACATTAAGCTGAATGGACAACGTAGAAATAAAATAGGCCAATTACAGGCAAAGGAAACAAGATCTCATAACAGGAAGCAGAGGATCCATCACTGATAAAGATCACGACTGGAGAAATGTTGTAAAATGGATAAGTAACACACACACACACGAAATAAAAAGAAAAGAAAAAAAACTCAACTGACCATTGTGCCCTCCGTAAATAGGCCTTAATGTACGTCTCATCCAGCTTGACGGCCTTTGTGCAGTCTTCAACCGCCTGCTCCAGTTTTTTTAGCTGCGGAAAACGGGAACAGAAAGTTAGGAGGAACAGGATCCTCTGAGAGGCCAGCGACCGCGCAGGACAGAGGCGACCCAGTTCTGAGAGCCCTAGAAAACGTTCAGCCCACAGGCACCCGCTGTTCAAGTGCCGGGGAAACACAAGCACTAAAAATACGGAGACAGAGGTACGTAGCCTATTATTAAATCTAAAAACGACGGAGGAGGCAGAGTAGCAGAACAGAGCGTGAAACCGGCTGACCCTACTATGTCGTGATATTTCTGCGACTGTGTCACGACGCATTGGAGAGGGGGATAACATCCCCCAAGACATTAATTCTCACCTTAGAGCCCACTGTTGCCCTGTTGCAGTACAGCTTGGCATTGGTTTTGATGTTGTTTGGGTCTATTGTGAGCGCTTCTGTGTAGAGGTCATAGGCACCCTCATAATTCCCCTCCTTGAAGGCTCTGTTCCCTTCCTCTTTCTTGGCTTTGAGAGCTTTGGCGTTCTGAGGACAAGATGTTAAAGTCCTTGAGAAGCTTTCACTAATATTACCGAATCTAAATGTGGCAAACATATTATTCCATGAGAATCAGCATGGATTAAAAAATAAGAAAAAAGCAGTAACATTAGACAGGTCTGATGTTTCATACAATGAAAATTTGCAAGGCTTGTCGCCACACTGATAAATCATCAGTTAACCCCAAACCACTCACTTCCCTCAAAGAAAAAAAACAAAAACAAATTAACCAATAAGGGACATGGCAGTGGTGAGGGTTGCTGTGTATTTTGAAGAAGAGAAAGGAAGAAGTCAGGTGCTTAAAAGTGTGCCACTCATATACCCCTTAAAAGTGTGCCGCTCATATACCCCTTAAAGGTGTGCCGCTCATATACCCCTTAAATGTGTGCCGCTCATATACCCGCTCATATACTCGCTCATATACCCGCTCATATACCCGCTCATATACCCAACACCAGAGCACCAAAGGGAAGCAGGCGGACTCACTCGGCAGGCGATGCGGGCCTTCTCGTGGTCAGGGGCCATGCGCAGGGCCTGCATGAAGAACTGCACGGCCTTGTCGATGCAGTCTTCGTAGTACAGGCACAGGCCGCGGACGTACAGGGCGTCTCCGTTCGTTGAGTCCATCCGCAAAATGTCACTGCAAAGGACAACACAGCTTGTGGTCGGAATGAGGAATCGTCCGGACGACACGAGGAATGCATTCTGCAATCACGAGGTGAAAAATCAAGATTCAGGGATATTGCAGCACTTCGGGGATCTCTGCACTTTGCCCGTACATGAATGTGATCATGACTGCAGTGAGAAAGCCATCTCATAGTCATTTCCTATTTTCACATTACTCACGCCTCTTCTATTCCTGTTAATACCACTTGTAAAATGTTAGTCATTTATAATGTGTCTGCTGCCAATGCTTGCACAGCAACAGGACTGACGAAGAGTTCCCAAGGGAAGGGGAAATCGGTTGCTTCAGCACTGGGAACTGTCCTGCAGAGAACCCATTTCCAGACACAGCAGCTGGCAGAGAAAGGGATGTGAGCAACCACAGTCCCAACAACAGATCTAGGAATTTGACATTAACTAGTTTTATGCTGGGTTTTATAAAACCTGCTGACAGACATTTCATCCGACGAAAACAGGGACATCTACCCTTAACCAGTGTATCATATTGTCCTAAAACGCGAGACTTCCTTAGAAAGACTGTTTTTCCCAATTTCCCAATCTGGACCCAAAGTGGTCCAAGACACAAACACAGGTCATACAATAAAACCTTAAAACCCCTCACTTAGAAGGAGCAGTGTGTAACTCATTTTATTAAGGATCTGTAACAGATCTGCCCAGAAGGTCATTGGTTCATATCCCACAGGAGGTAGTGTAATATCACAGTTGAGCCCTTGTGCAAAGCTCTTAACCTCAATTTCACCAGGTAAACGGGCTGACCCTGATCGCAATGGACAAAACGTCTACTAAATAAACCAACGCAAATGTCACCGCTAATCATCAATCTAAAATGCTAATCGAGCTAATCGTCAATCTAAAATGCTAATCGATCTAATCGTCAATCTAAAATGCTAATCGATCTAATCGTCAATCTAAAATGCCATCCTATAGTAAGACGTTGAAGGTAACTTGCGTATTAGAAAGACGGCTGCTTGGCATGACCGGGCATCCATACCTGGCCACAGACTGCGCTTCCGAGTAGCGCCCTAGCAGTGCCAGGCACTCTGCCTTGAGGACCTTAAAGCGGTGGCAGGCTGAGGCCGACTCCAGAGCACGGTCCATGCAGTAGACGACCTGCGGAGGTGGAACCAAGCGGTAATCGATGGAGGCCGGGAGAGACGGGCAAGCCAAAGGACCAGACCCGAGTCGCTATAGCGACGTATCACAGGTCAACGCACCATCCTGAAGTCTCGCTTTTCAAAGCCGACTTCCGCGAGCTTCTCGTACTCCAGGATGGCTTCAGCATTCTTAACCTGAAACAGAGGAGACATTTGGGAACGTTCAAACCAAACGGGCTACCTGAAAGAGACCAGTCTTAAAAAGGGAAGTAGCGAACAATCAATGGTGATATTAATGACACCGCAAATCACACCTGGAGCAGCGATCTGAAGGCAGAAAGATAAAAGGAGAGGTGATCAGCTATGCTGGCATTTTCTACAGGTCATCATTGACTTACCGCTGTGATCGGTTCCCACTGACCAGTCGTAAGTGGCCCTTTATTTTATATGCAACAATTGTAATATGTATATGCAACTGTATAATTAAATCACATCGTCTTTAAGTCATATTGTTTGGTGTTTTTTAACCTTTTATCACCATTTTCTTAGTTCATTATTGTTATAACCTGTTGATTATAATTATCAGCTGCAAAGACACAAATGGATACGAATGCAAACTGTACTGTGAGCACTGCGAACCGTAGCCTGAGCATGAGATGAATGAATGGGTGACCCGGGTGGAGGCTCACGCTCCCGGCGGTCAGAGCAGAAGCTGTCATACACTCATGCTGCCAGACGCAGCGCGGTCCTGACCACGTATCTGCGGTCTTGGAGCGGTCGTAAAGTCGATCGATTGTAAGTCGCATAGGCCATAACTTGACAATGACCTGTATTAGAATTAAGCAAAATTTTTCTAGAAGACCAAGCCCTGTAGCAGTCATTGTTTGTTATCCTAAAGGTGGAAAACTTAAGACTTATCTCTCAGCCGACAGGAAAGAGTACAGCTGATCTGTCAGGGTGACTCACCTCCTGTTGTGCTTGGGCATTGTCAGGCTCTAATTCAAGAACTTTCTGAAAGCTACGGATGGCAGCCATCGCATTGCCCAGCAACAAATGGCACTTCCCTTCCCGGAGGTGACCCTGGGGGACAGGTGTCACACGGTCAGAAGAGCAGCTCAAACGGACAGAAGACAACAGACCGACAACCCAACCAATACTGACTGTTTACACTAATTTTGCAGTATTCCCTGTATGTTTTTAAAAATGCTTAAAACACTTCGCATTATTTGCTGGAGGACATTTAGAAAACTAACGAATTTATAAATGCACTCGTTTACTTAAATATGCACGTCACATCACAGTGACAGCGCTTCAGATATAAATGTTAACATTTACTAACCGAGGGTACGAGTTTGAAAGCTAAGTCCCCAAAAACAATACACTGGCCATTTGTACTGGGGTCCCTCAGTCATATACCTTCATGAAGGTATCATCCAGCCGCACGGCATGCTGGGAGTCCTCCAGCGCCTCTCTGTATCGGCTCAGCATCATGAGTGTAGCAGCCCTGTTCCCGTGGAAACTGGCATTCTTTGGGCACAAGTCTGTAAGGACACATATGGCTTAACATACATACAAAGATGAAAAGATCCTCAAACTGAAGAACAGGGAAGGAATACATTCAATCAGGTCCAGGATATTGGCCTCGCAAAGCTGCCTTCAGCTTACTTACAATATACTGGCTTAGAGGTCAAAAGAAGCAGCTGTCAGTCTATTTATATTCTTTTAAACTTGAATGAGGGATGATAGAGAAGAGGGGGGGAAAAAACAGACCACCTGCCGTCATGGTGACAAGGGGTCAAAAACAGAAATGATTCAAGCCCCCGCAGTCTTGACAATCAGACCCACGACAGGCAAAAATCAATTGTTTGAGAAAATAAAAACTGATCAAATATTTCACCCTTTACAAACTGGTTCAAACTGGATTTACCTGGAGGTATCAGAGTGGCAGTTACGCTTAATTTCCTAAATTATAGCAAAGCCAAAGCCAAACCCATTCATTTAAGTGTCACAACTGTAATGCTTCCACTGTCAGGATGAAAATGAAATCTGGCCAAAGATTACATGTTGTCTGCCAAATTAGAGAAACAGCCCTTTTCCAAAAATTCCTACACTAAGCAAGTGTGGAAAATGTTTGAAAAGATGTGAATTTCCACCGAAAACATTTAATCAAAAGCAGCACTGCCAGACATAGACCGGAGCAGCAAAGTTGTATTATGGTGAGAGTTAAAACACAACTTGAGGACTATTTTGGCGCCCTAAGGGTATCGAGTGACATCAGCAGTCTGCTTACCTATGGCCTTTGTATAGCAGTTAAATGCTTCAGAGTAATCCTTTTTAACGTAAAAGGAATTCCCTCTTTCTTTGAATACCTCTGCTTCCCTGAAAGAGACAGGGAAAAAAAAAACACAGAAGACACACAAAAAAATGAGATTTGCAATCATTGTGAGAAAAACATTTTAGGTTGCGACAGGCAGAATGCACCCTTAAAAGCATCAGCACACCAACTGAACTTTTACTGGCAAAAAAACTCCAAGACAGAATCCCCGAACAAGCGAATCATTACAGGCTAGGCCAGGAACAAAAATAAGCTGCCTGGCTAAAAAAAAGTTGCACGCTTTAATATTTCGTTGGACCGCCTTTAGCTTTAATTGTGGTGCACATTCACCGATGCATTTTTTCCACGTGCTTATGCAACATCAACAATTTTTTTTCATCCAGATTTGCATTCATTTCTTGTTGAGATCTTGTATTGATGATAGGTGAGTTGAACCACTCCATAAAGTCTTCTTCAGCACATCTCAAAGACTTTCAATGGGGCTAAGCTAAGCTAAAGACTCTGTCGTGGCCAATTCATGTGTGAAAATGATTCCTCGTGCTCCCTGAACCACTCTTCGACAATTCGAGGGTGATGAATCTTGGCATTATTGTCCTGGAATATGCCCATGCTGTTAGGAAAGAAAAAATCCATTAACGGGAAAACCTGGCCATTCAGTAGATTCACGTACTCAGCTGACTTCACTTTATTGCTGCGTAACGCTGCTGAGCTGTAATACTGATCCAATCATTGGCTCTTAAGTAATCGCTGATTTAAATTCAAACAGTGACGTTTTTTTGGCCAGTGTAGAAAACAAAAACGCAATTATTCAAATACTGAGTGCTATTAAATGGAACTACCTACAGCTAGAGTGAAACAATATGAATTGTGAGCAAGCTGCTGGTAGCAGTATGCTTAATTAGTATGCTTAATTAGTATGCTTAATGAGTATGCTTCATTTGTAGACACTGTCCTAAGAGAAGAGAAATGAGAGAATTGAGGAAACAGGTATCGAAACCAATAATGGGCTGGATTATTGTGTGCTGTCAATCACTATGAGGTTTAACCCAATGGGAACCTATAAAGTACTGTAGTCCCACCCACTACATTCCCCACATTATCACACTTAAGACTGAATTCAGATCATGCATTGTGTCCATTACTACATGGAAAATGAAGTATGTATGGCACATTCGCCCTAGTGTGGCCGCGGCAGCACACTATCCAACCCGGACCTATACATAGAAAAAGCAGAAGCAGCAGGAGTAGCAGCCAGCTGGCGTAATCCAATCACTGGGGAAGCTCGCTGCAGACTCACAACTACGATAAAAACTGGGATCACAGGCACACGAGCACATATTGTAATCATGTCTTTTTTATATGGGAATCACAGCAAACACGGCACACCGATTTAATGATGGCGCAGAAGTGCAGGGCAGCCCCGTTAAGACAGCGCACTAATAAACATCTCAGAAATAAACGCCTTTCACACATGAAAATCTAGAAGAACAGAGACAGTAGGTTCTTTCTTTAATGAGTCTGCTTCCCACATTCTGTCATTCACAAGAGATTTTAGATCAAAACCAAAAACCAAACAGATACATGTACACAACAGTCCAAGTCAAATACCCCTTGATCTAAGTTCTTAAGCTGAATTAAGTACACACCTTCCTCTATGAAAGAGCAACACTTCTGGCAAAAATATCTGCCAAGGAACTCCAATAAAACAAAATGGTGCTTTGTGTGTCCATCTGCATAAGGTGCTATTTACGAGGAGCTACTGTGCATAAGGATGCCGCTGGGGATATTTTGGACTAGCGGTCCCTGTAATGCTGGTACTATAATTACACCACTTGTACAGCACTAGTTAATTTTAAAGCATGAGTGCATTCCAATATTAACCCCTTCAAAGCTAGATAGAGTGGGAACACTCGACTTGTGAAAGAGCATGCCTTTGCTGCATTTGCAAAAGCACCTCATGAGAATTTAATTTAAATTATGTTCTATTGTTAGTCCTCACCAAGAAAAGCAGATCCAAGTGTGTTTAAGGACTTTTTTGGTTTATCCATTTAATGCAATACTTGAGAATTTAGAATAAAATTTCATTAAGATGACTGCAATAAATGTTTATGGTGTAGTATCAGTATACCCAGTCACCTGGAAATGTTATTTAAGACTAACTTAAGACTTACGGGTATCATTTCAAAACATTGACCGCATGCGAGTGCAGACTGACAGATCACGTGCTCAGCGGAAGCACGTCGATGCGTCTTTCCCTGCAGCGCCGCGGAGACGCGAAGGTCGGAATTGCTGAGGGAGACTGAATGACAGCGACCCCGAAACTCCTTCCCACCCCATGCGGCTCGACAATCCAAAAACCTAGAAATTTCCACCGCAGCGGCCACACGGCCTATGCTTCGGCCGACTATACAGACCGCTTATCGCAACACCACCACCCCCCCCACCCCGAATGCAGCCGGCTACAAGCTGCTGGAATGTTCTGCGGGCGGCATGTAAAAATAGACAACGACGCTAGTTAGCAGCAAGTAAGCTAGCATGGGACTTACCTGGAACCAACTGAAAATGTTATTCAATTTTTGATTTATGCTCAAATATTCATTAATCACCGGAGGTAGTTTGTTGGCCAGCAACTTCATCATACACTGGCTCTCCGATGCAAAGTGTCATTGTACTAGTTCCCAGGCGGTACTGGTTAAATTGCGAGCTTAACTAAACTGTTCTATTAAACGGTACCACCTCAAATTAACGGGAAGGTTTTTTGATTAGTAGGTTAAGTTTGCCGTCTTTGGCCCTTGTTTATCCGAGCACCGACAATATCAAGGTTGGCTACTTCATTCTTAAATGTAGTTAATGCCACTGAAAAATCTTTAATTAAGGAGAATCAAATTATTTGCGTCTGACTAGTTCACGGACCACATGAGATCAGTAAGTTAATGTCCTAACACCAAATGTCAGCAGGAGAATAGGCCCGGTTTTAACCAGTCGGTAGAGATGTCTCACCGACGGCGATACCAGAGTAACGGTGGACATCGACTCGCCGGCACGAAAAACGCAAAATATTCCCTTAGTCTAGCTGTCAGCTTCAGTTATCAAACGTTACCTCTCCATCTCCTCGTCGCTCATCAGCTCAGACTCCACATCCATGGGTACGTCAGCGGCCATTTTGCTGCGGGAGGGGGGGGGGGGCGCTCCGGCATACGCACGAGCTCCCCGTGTGGAACGCGGCTGCTGGAAGCCAATGATGTCATAGGCTGCGTAAGTTCTAGACGGAGGGCCAGGGTCCGAAATCTCGCGACCCCTGACGAAGGGCAGTTTCAAAGCGTGTAATTGACATTATGGATGTGATTAAATTGCTCGCATTGAAGGATTGTTGACTTTAAAATATTCCTACGTATGTATCACAATAAGAGCATAAAATTCTGAAATACCTTTTCACATTTTAAGTAATTTAGGATTAATATATAACGATTATCTGTTGAAGCATTTATATTTGTAATACTTATATCTAGCACATCTTGTAATAGGATGAGTTTGCATACGCAGAGGCTGCACTGAATAATCTGAGGGGATATCGCCTGCGCACCCACAATGCAAAGCGAACAGCTCAATGACGAACGGAGCCGAGTAGAGACGAATCCCAGAAAGATGCTGCTCCGTTCAGTTATTGATAGGAATACGCAGTACCCCGTTTTTCGAGTGTAATTGATTCATGGAACATGCTCCGATTGCGCGAAGATCGGGAAGCCATTTCCCATCATTTGTTTTGCAGAAAAATATGATTCGTTCTAAATCGAATAAAGAAACTCCAAATTAATCCTTCCAAAAATACTCAAAATACCTATTTAAGTATAATTAAGAAAACATTAAACACCAAATACAGAACTGCCAAAATATATTGGCGTGTTTAAATGCAATATTTTATGCAATACCATGCATTACGTTCCGTAGTAATTGCAATGGACAACGGTCACACTTTTGTAAATAATAATAATTAAACGCAATATAATAAAGGGGAAAACAGACATACTGTAATAATTTGTCACTCGAAATTCATGTTACGGCGAATTTGTGTGCTCGGACGGCGAAGGTTGTGTCCGAATTCTCCAAACCGTAATATTAAAAACCCAACGTAATTTCTTTGTATGTTTTGAAGGTGGCAAGTGGTTCGAAGTTACTTAACAAGTTATGCAATTTATATGGCAGTTGTGTTCAAGGAAACCTGTTTTTGAGTTGCCTGGGGGTGTGAGGTTGCTGACTATTTATCCACAGCACCCCCCCGTGCCCAATATCACGTTTTCGAAATCCATTCAATGTATATGTTTCAACATTATGAGTGGATTACTGTAATTGTACAAGTTTTGAATAACTAATTTCTGTGAAGAGTGTGTGTGAAATATTATTTTGTGTTTAATTTAAAGGTGTTTTTCTTTGCTGCTGGTTTACACAACTCCCTTCAACTCCCACAGGCAAAAACTGACAAAGAAAAAAACTGAAAATAAAATAGCTGGATCAACATTCTATTTAAAACCACGGAAATTAATGCTTCATGAGATACACACCTAAAACATAAAAGCACAGAAGCATTTAACTTAGAAACAGTTCTGAGGTGGACTGGACATCTCCTCTGGCACTGTTGGGAAGGCATAACACTGGCCACATCTGCTCGTGGTTTGGTCAGCATGAAATGCCTCTGCCTGAACATTTGACAGCAGCTGTTGGTTTTCTTTCTTACACTTGCTTCCTATAATCTAGGTACATTCTGTGCATTGATGCTGTGGTGTAGAACCACTTGTGAATTATTCGCAGTTTTATGGTATATTTTACACATCCCTCACTGGCATTCCATCTGTGATGTGACCCAGCCTAGTGCACTGTGCTGCTTGGGATGGTCGCTAGGCCGACTCTACAACCACGTCCAGGATACGCTGGTGAAAGTGTGAAGGACATTTCGTATTAGAACTGGATTCAATGGCCATTTACTTGATGTACAAATATCAAAACCAAAGTATCTCGGCATCAGAACCTTCTTGCTCCTCTTCCATAATTCTACCTATTTGTTTTAGTGAGCTATTCATGTTATGGGGGAGGGCAGAAGTACAACCAAAAAAAACACAATACTCTATTTCAGCCTCATTTGGCATTTTTGGTAGAATATGCATTTATAAAAAACCTAATATATTAACAGTTTTGCCCAGAGCTATTTCCCACTTTCTTATCAAAGTACCTCTTAAAGACAGCAATAAGATTCACAATTTAAGATAGTGTGCCATATACCAACCACTGTAAAATCTAAAAATAAAAAATGATAGATAGATAGAGTGAAAATTTAAGAGCACAAACTCTTTTGGGGGAAATAAGAAAATAATAGGACAAACCTCTATTTAGGGTTAAAATTGAGGAGATTGACATTGGTTGCTGAGCGATTCCCACACTCCAGGTACGGACTCATCAGCCGGTCCCCAGGGTGCAACATCTGGACGCTCAAAGCGGACTTCTGATTGGCGATGTCGGGCATCCAGCTGTGGCCTTGGCTCAGACTGGCAGGGGCTTGATCATCGCTACTTACAGAGCGCTGACATGAACGTTGGCATAAGAATTAAGTTGTATTTAGAAATAAATTGTATTTGTGAAAAAATTGCACAGCCAATTCTAAACTTACATGAGTACCTGGCATTTCACAGTTTGATGGGGGTTTGAATCCTGCCTGATTCTGTTTCTGTGGAATTTACATGTTCTCTACATTTGTATTGTTTTTGCCCCATATACTGTTGTCCTGCGGTCCCAAAACCTGTGGCTAGGCAAGCATCTTTGAATTGCCCATTGATTGTGTGCATGTGTGTCCTGTGATAGACTGGCATCCCGTCCACGGCGTCTCTTGCCTTGTCCTCCTTGGGATAGACCCCAGGCTGACGGAAGCCCGTCCTGGATTAGCTCTAAGGTAGGTGGATGGATTTTTCAAACTTTGGGAAAATGTCAGCGGTTAACATTGTGTCTGGCTGAGCGCAAGTCCTGTAATCATTGGTATCTGCAGAAAGTTTTGATTGGGGTGGTCATCAGGCAAGTGGAAAGTTCAGGTTCAGGAAGTACAAATCCAGACCAAGACTTCGTTTCAAACAACCAGTTGAGTACAAAGTGTCACAGTCAAAAAGTACTCAACTGGTTGGTTGAAACAAAAACTTGGGCTGGATTTGTACTCTGTGGACCTGAACTTTCCATCTCTGTCATTAGGGGCCAGTTATATTTTTCTGTCCGCTTCCGCATAAAAAAGAACCCATATTATGTAATTTTTATTGATGTGGGGTGGCAACAGAGGGCATGTAACATATTTATTATGGCGCCCCTGGCCACCCCTTAGATCTGCCCCTGCCTGTAATGATTTCTGTAGAAACACCTCAGGACCAAACACAGTAAGATTAGTCCCAGCACCCCTTTCAGCATCTGATTTCTGCTGTTATTATTACCGTTGTGCGGTTAGCAAATCGACCACTAATATGAAAGTTGGAGCTGGAAGTTGGTTGTAGGGACTGGGAAGAACTGATGGTATAAAGAACCTTGGGTCTGATTTCTGATTGTTTGTATTTTATTCGCGCTCCAACATGGGTTCAACACACAAACGTTTCGCCTCTGTGCCCATCATCCCTGCACACAAACTAAATATAGATTATCAGAGTTTCGCCCTGATCTCCATTATTTTGAGTGCGTTACAGTGTCTTGAATCCATTGGTATTTATCGTCAGAGTTGGTCGAGTGCGGTGTTTCACGTATTTTCCATAAATGAAGCTTGGAAAGTCAGATCACTGCCTGGTGTAATGCGAAGGGACACACTGGAGTAATCAGCAAGTCTTGGATCGAAGTGGCTGGTTATTGCCTATGCAGGCCCCCCATGTGGCCTTTCAAAGCCTCATGTCCCTCACGACTGCTGGGAAGAATCCCCCCCCCCTTAACTTGGACAAGGGTAAAAGGGTATCTCATGCATATTTAATGTTCTAAGTCACTGTTGCATGGACAAAAATCTCATTTACATTGGCTGATAAAATATAGAGAGAGCTCATCCGTGGGTGACATCCAGAGGCTCGGACCCTGTCCCGAGGGCATGCGGGGGGGGTCTGAGACTGGCAGACGCGAGGCACCCGGAGGCTGTTGTTTGCCCCTCGCCTGTCACATCTCCATCCCTGGAGACAGGCCGGGGATGACATGCTGACTGCAGTAAAGGGGTCATATTGATCAAGGCCTGCCTCCTGTCATTAGCCATTAAACTGAAACAAAGCAGAACGAGAAGCTGATTAAGTGTAAGCTCTACTTTATTTACTCACCTTCGGCCCCATCTCCCTCTCCCTCTCTCTCGCTCACTCACACACACGCTCTCTTTGCACACAGTGTCTCACCGTATAGACGAGAGTAACAATAAATGCAATGAGGAATCTCTTATCAAAATATTTTAACCTTATAATTATGTTACAAGTATTGGTACTATATTGTACAATGAACATTGCAAAGATAATACAGTAAGTACTGGCCATGTCCCTATATCGTTTTGTTTCCCTCATGTCAACAAACTCCTGCATTTCATATCAAACACAACTGGTCACATGACTTCATACATTTATATATACAATAGGATTTACAAAAACCGGCCTATAGCCATTAGCCACTTCCAGGCAAGGTAAGCTGTACCAGATGAGGTGTTGGTCAACCAATGTGCTTTTCCAGAACCCAACTGATATGTCTCAATTGTACATTGTAACAACTAAGATGTCCACATGGCAAAGGTCAGGCTCAGGTTGTTCCACTTCTGCTGCTCTTTTATTACAGAATAACAAAGAGAGCCACAGCAGAAGCACCTTCTCATTAAGGCATATCAGTTATATGTGAGCCTGGTTTTGTTTGTGCTTATCTTGCAGCTCTTTCAGACAAAGAAAAGCAGCGACATACATATACGGTCTGCGTGGGGACTTCGAAACAAGGGAGCAGTTTATCAGTATGCGATGTAACGAAAGAAACAGTAAAGCAAATTAAATTTTTACATTTATAGGAACGTCAGAAAGGAAGTGATGTACATCAGAAAGACAGTGGGACATTTTTGTTTTGGTCATTATCCTGGAAAAGGGTTTATTAAATGGAAATCTCCACCATTTAAATACAATGTTACTGAAGGAATTCTCAGAAATGTGTCATTTACTGGAGCCTAAAGTCACAACAAGAGTTGCGAGAGAGGCCTTCTGTTCCGGCGCGTTTCCCTCCTAACAAATGAATTCAGGCGTGTAAAAATCTGGCTAGACCCATTGTGAATACTGGAAATAAGCTGGAATGCTATATCAAAGCACGACCAGCACAGCCTATTCCACAGCTAGACTGTGCTATAGGAGAATTGGACAGAAATTCCTGCGTCCTGACACAAGGAACAACGATCAGTCCTTTCATTCAGGGCTTATTAAGTTTTCTGACATCTGAAATACCATCTCCTCTGTCAGTGCTGATTACCACCCAGTTACCCCACCGCCTGTCAATGTTTTGGCACAGAAAAGAGAGGCTATTATGATATTGCTTGCATCCAAAGTGAAAAAGCTTCCAGTCTCGTCAACTTATACAGTTAGATATAAAATACTCGCTCATGGCTACCGCTGAAAATCCCCTCTGGGCTCTTGAATCACTGCCCTTGAAGGTACTTCGCTAACCTGCTATCTGCTTCCACACGTTTCAGATCCAAAACATTGTGACTGGGAGGAAGGCTTGACTCCCTCCAGCATGTACAGTCAGAAAGTGTACATCGACCAGGAGCAACGATAAGGTCAAGACGGAGAGGAAGGCTCTGTCACTTATTTGTGGCATAACTGCTTGCACTGTATTGTTCGCGCAACGCCTGCTGTGCTACTCACCCAACCTATTCAAACAGCAAATTAAGCTGTAGTTTTCACTACTGACACACCACTACATGGCTTAAGAGATGCGTTACTGTAAATTTTATCTCAATACTGTTCTCTCCAGACATGTTCAGATGAGACACGTAATTTTGCAGGAATGTGACACGATGCATGACCTCAACGAACGCACAAGTCACTGTCTACTTTCCTATGCTTAGGAATCTCCCCATATTCACACTGATCACCATCTCACTACAACTAAAATTAAGGTAACATCTAAAAAAGTTATGACACAGAGCACGAGTCCGACCGCGTTGTGGAATCCAGCAAGCCAGAACAAACTAACACTGCACACAAACTTTTATGGCACTGCGAATTCTCACTGGAGGGTCTGGGGATGCACACATCCCAGTCTTCGCTGCTCCGCTGTGAAGATTCGTCAACAAAACTCTGACCGCCGTCTTTCTGACTCACTATTGTGAATCGCAAAAGATGGTTTTGGTGAAAGTGTCCGCATTTGATACAGTTGCTGTTGGATTTGGCAGAACATATTGTCAAAACATTTATGGCATTTCTTAAAAACTCCTAAAATAAATTGGAAAACGCTAGAATTTTTCTTGAATATATTTGAATGGCCATTCTTCAAAAGAACATACAACTTTCCCTGCTAAACTTACAGTAATAATAATAGGCTACATTTCTATCATTTACGCTATTATCTATATACTATCTTCGTTGCATTCAGAATTTCCATAAAAATCTTATCTCACAAATTTCCCTTTAAAATTAAACAGGTAAATAAAGAAATAGACACAATGGGTTTTGAAAAGCTGACTTTGTAAGACCCAAGTCCTGCGGTTGTATCCAGGCAAACTCATAGGAGTGTATATTTGAATGAACAATGGCAAATAATAGCCTGCAGATGGCACTGTTGCACTTCCCCTGGAGAAATCTATTTCAGGCGAGCCCCGCACTTTGTCTTTGGTGATCAATGGTTGACTGAACAGGAATAATGCGAATTTATGGCTCTTCTGGATACGCTTGTTTTATCCTGCAGGCCTGGGTAGCGCCATTAATGCATTCACTCAGTGACTATTTTGGACTTGTGAGGCGCACGAAACGAAATGCCTGTGTCACTATAAAATGCAACATTCCTGTAATCGCTGAGCTGCTTGCCACACAGCTTTCCAAAACATTGCATATGATAGACTGCATAGCTCTACCCCAGGTCCGTCCCGGCTTCTGTGAAAGGCACAGTGCCCCTCACGGTACCCCGTGAAGCTAGACTAGGGCTTCCCAGACCGCTGTATGGCGGTGGGTCGAACAACAATTTCAACAATTATATGTATTTATTTATGTGTGTGTGTGTGTGTGCATGTGTGTATAGAGAGAGAATTTTTGGAAATTAGAAAATTTCATACATTTAATCGTTTCCATTTTTCCAGATGCGGACAGAACGCGCAAACTTCAGAAGGCGTATATATATATATATATATATACATACATACGTTTTGTGTGTGTGTGTGTGTATATATATATATATATATATATATATATATATATGAGGGAAAAAGAGAGAGTTAATTTTTGGAAATTAAGTAACCCCTCCACAAGATGCCCAGTGCTCTGCTGTGAGAGGAGTACTGGCCAAGGGGTTCGGAGACTGGGAACCCCTAAGCTAAGGAATCGGAACGTAAGCTCTTCTGCACAAAAATGGAAAAAACAAAACACTGCGCTTCTGCAGTTCATCCCTACCCTAAGATACCTAATCTCTCGGATGAAGTGATAGAGACACCGGCAGTTCAGGCCGGGCTCCTCGGGACCCCTTCAGACCGCCTCAGGAGGCCTTGAAGATGAATTTTTCAGAGGACACGCTCATCCCCAGAAACCTGCTACAGTATCACGCTCTCGAGACTCACGTCTGCCTGTACATCCGTAAAAACCGACGAAGGCTTCTGTGACGCACCAATTCTCAGACTTAAAGACCGTTTTAAAAAGAACCTCTTATAATACGTCACTGGGAGACACACCGAGAGACATGTCCCCTGGCTCGCTGTCCTCTAGCCTGTCAGCGGTCCTGACACTGCTTAGCATATGCTACCCCTAAGTTTAATTAAGTCATTCATCCATTCCTATCAAGATGCTACGCTAGGCGCGCTACAAATTTAATTCCATGTGGAACTGCACCTCATTACTGTCTAGCAAAATGGGGAAAATATGCACCTTATCTGTACTGTTCTTAAAAGTTCCTTGTAGACTATATATATATATATATATATATATATATATATATATAATGTCTGGTTGTGGGACTCCGTGGCAGAATAATCTGGATGGACGTTAAAATTGCAAGTAAAATTACGGGTAAAATTACAGGTTTGTCAAACACCTCGACATCCACAGATTGTCTTACACTGAATGCATCCTAGCCGCCCCCCCCCACACACACACACTAAAGAATAATAAAAAAATCATGACTATAACCCACAGTGCAATGCAGTTTAGAGATGGCATAATTGGCTTAATTTGTGCCTGTTTTTGGAGCCTAAATACATCCTCCTGCCCCCCCCCCCCAAGAAAGGCCAAGGACCTGCATCACTGGCTAAAGAATCAGGATGACATCATCCGGTGTTAAACTCCATCGGGGTGGCCCATGGGTGAGGCTGAGTCCGTATCACGTCCGCTTAGACATATATCAAGAAGCATCAAGTACCTTATTTGCAGTGGCCATTTTTACACAGTTTTGTTCTAATAAATAAGAAAAAAGCCACACAATGATCGAAACGCCTGCTGTGCGAATCCCTCTCCAGGCTGTCGACAAAGGTCCGTTTGGGCCACACGTGAGGCGTGAAAAGACAAACACAAAGGGGGCAGGAGGCATGGCTGCCACGTGTCCCGACGCCTTGCGCGTCTGAGAAGGACCTCCATGCAGCCGGCTGTCTGCCGTCGCTCTCGCCAGCTGCATAGATCCACTAGCCCCAAGACGCCCCCCCCCCTCCAGTGCTAGTAGGGGGAGAAGATGATGGGGGTGTGCGATGCCCTGAGGGGCCCAGGGGCGGGCCGGAAGAGCGCGGGGCTGAGCAGGGGGGCTTGGATGAAGGTGGCGGTGCCCGCCGGGTGCCGCAGTGCCAGTGGGTTAGCAGCCACAGTGCACAGGGCCGCCGGGCTCAGCGGGCTGGGCAGGAAACTCGCAGTCAGGCTCTTGGTCAGCTGCTTGTGGAGGGCCAGCTTGGTCTGTGGGAGAAGAGCAGCCGCATCTAACAGTTAGCGGGATTAGCGGGAGTTCGCCCTACCGAATTAGCATAGCCACGCTATAAGCTAACTCCAGCGGTGTGTTTCAACCGTAAACGGTTAGACTAGGAATAAGCAAGCTACTCAACGGATTACAATCCTTTATGATTCATATCATTTCCCCTCATATTCATTCAGTGAATGCAGTGAACCTTGTTTGCCTAGATTAAGTTCCTTATAATTTTATTTAGCTAAATGGCCAGCGGGAGATTTTAGCCGAACCGCGTTACTCAATTATACAGCTGCAGATATTTCCTGAGGCAAGAACACAGGTGTGGACAGAAGCGTAATAGTTTAACGATCCGTGGCATGTTTCATCGTTTAGCACTTAATTAAAAGTTAATCAAATAATAAGAATAATTGGTTAATAATGGTTATATTTCATACCAAATATTACTATACTGGCGGGGCTAGTTTTATTTCATAATATATCAATTATAGTGCACTGACTATTAACTGGTGTTGGTTCTACCAGTAGTAGTCATTTCTCTTCAGGGACAACCTGACCTGCAGGTTAAATACAACAGGGCATGATCAACGAGGCTAGCTGGTGGTGAGCTGGAATCTGGAAGCTGGAATCTCACCACTGCACCTGCAGCAGTGCTACTGAAGGGCTGCTTCGTTCGTTTACGGCGCGGCGTATTGTGGGTATTCATCACCAAGTGGCCCCAGCAGCCACCAGCGTTAATGACGACGAATATGTGACACAATGTCGTTTATTTCGCTGGTCGTGTCGCTTGACGTAAGTGATATACTCTGACAAAAATATATCACCATCCCATGATATATCTCTAGTGCATTATAGTCAGGGATGCATATAACTGGTACGCAAATACGCATTCACCTTTAAAAGCGATACGTGCAGCAATCGATTGCTGTAACAGCGCAGATGCGTACATATTTGACGCTGATATGACAAGAAATTATCGTGCATTGTAACCTCTATATCGCAAATGGCGTGCAAATTAGCATATACAGGTTAAAATGCACGATAATTTCTTGTCATATCAGCGCAAATGTACATAAAATACGTATGTATTTACACTGTTACAGCAATCGATTGCTGAACGCATCGCGTTTAAAGTTAAATGCGTAGCTACGTACTAATTACTGCTAGGCTAATAACAATTGTAACAATAATCGAACAAATGTCTCAAATATGGAACCTATAGTACGAAAGAAGGATGCTTTAGCCTATCATAAGGGAGGACCGATATGAAACAATACAAAAGGCTCACTGGATTGGCCTGACAACATGCCAATCAAAAATGATGTGTGCCAAAAATGCATATTCAGTTTCTGCATACATATAAACAGCTATTTAGATGCATTCGTCATCAGTAGGCCTTTAATTCTATTGACATTATAATCTGAAGTGAACCTTTTTGTTCACTTCAAAACTTTCAAACTGCTAAAAGCCCCCCTTTAGCCTCACATCCAGCAACACAAGCTAAGGTTTGCTGATTAACTATTCATACTAAACAGCTATTTATGGGCTGTAAAAATATGAACCAGCAGCAGTTGCAGCATGTTCCTTTGTACGTGTTTTTTGATAACTAACTAAAGCCATTTCCATTATTACAATTTGTCAGCTATTGTTCTGTGCTGTGAAATTTCAAAAATGAAATTAAAACTTTACAAATATTTCTGGGGTGGTGCAGTGGTTGGCACTGTTGCCTCACACTTCTGAGACCAGGGTTCGAGTCTCCACCATGGCTCCGTGTGTGTGGGGTTTGCATGTTCTCCCCGAGTGGTCGTGGGCTTTCTTACGGGTGCTGCGGTTCCCCCCATGGTCCCAAAACACGCTGAGATGCCAAATTGTGTGTGTGTGTGTGTGTGTGTGTGTGTGTGTGCGTCCTTTGATTGGTTGGCCCCACATCCTGGGTTGTTCCCTGCCTTGCGCCCATAGGCTCCAAGACCCCCCATGACCACGAATAGGATAAGCGGT